AAACATGCGGCAAGGCGGCTTATAACGTTGGAGTTCAAGTCACACATGTCCCACTAGCCATGGCGTTAGATTCTTTTCTATTCAATGTTGTCAATAGAATTATTTCAGTTCTCCACCGTGCAATCCAATTATATTGTGAACACATATATATAGGCGGTCGTCCTATCGCGAGGCCCTCTTCATAGCACGAGCAGTCATGTCCCACACTTTTCGTCTCTTGCCCAGGATCCTCTTCGGGTGAAAACTAGGTTGTAGTGATTCATCTAGCAGGCTGAACTGTAAGAAGCTTTGCTAATTGTCAGGTTGCTTGACATGCCCTCTGACTCGGGACGTGAGATAGCCCCGAAGCTCGCGCCATAACATCGCTTCGTCACTTGCCTGCTCCCGTTGGTTCAACAGTTGCAAGCTGGGCACCACGAGCAGACAGAAGAAGCAAGTTGATATTTAAAAGATAATTATAAAGAGTGGCTTATCAAGCCAAATACGCGTGTACATGTTCATAGTAGGTTCTATCTAATAATAAGGGCAACACTCACCTGACGAGAGACAAGACATCATATTCATCCATTCCGGGCTGTTACAAAAACGATGTGGACATGGCATACGCCCGTTCACTGCAAGAATAGCGCTGGCCTCGCCAAGATGCAAAGGGGTCACGCTCTTCGCCTTTACAGTTCTTCAGCCCGCAAGCTTTTGTGCCCTTGTCGCCGGCAGAGTACCTGGAATAGCGTCTGATAAAGTTCGTGGCGCAGGAAGCATCTCGGCCAGGAGCACTGCCCCATCTGGCCCGCCAATTCCCGCGTATTGCTTGACATCAAGAGCCTTGATAGGCCTTTGCGCTGCATCTTGGCATGAGAGGGATGCTATTGAGCTTCTCGGTGCTTTTGCAGCTCGTTGTCAGAAGGCCTGGTAGCTAGGGTGTAAAAGCTCCACGGGTACCCGCTGGTTCTGGATAATATTAGGCAGCGAATTTTAGCCCATAGGATTCATCGGAGAGAGCTGGGCTACCCATGGCTATCTATTGATAATCTTGGGTTATTTTGGGTGCCCGCGCAAGACCTAAGCCCCCAGCCACGTAATTAACAACACTATTGACGTGATAACCTATTAATAGATATTATGGGTAGCTATGAGCACCCATCTTATAATAGGGTATATGTTTATCAATTTATTGATATTGGACCTATATGACAAAATGGATAGTGCGTATATCTCCTAAGAAAAGCTTGGATACCCACGGGTGCCCAGGGGTACCTATTTTTACATTGACCCTGCCGGTAGCACTGGCTCCCCTCTACCTTGGGAAGGAAAGGGGCGAAAAGCAGGGAGGCTAAAGAGAAAACGCTTCAAAGGTTGGCGATGGGCAGGTGAGGTGGCCTGATCGATAACTTGTGCCTCAGGCTATGTCCTAATAAACCCCCAAAAAGTACGTATAATGAAAAGGGCCAAAGGGGGAGGAAATAATAGAAATAAAAGGAGAGATAAATCAGACGAGTAAGTAAGAAGACCAACAAGACTATTCCCTAATATACATTCCGTGTCGGCATCAACCGTAAGAAGGTACACCAAAATAGAATCTATATTCCCATGAAATTTAAATTACCAAGCCAATAGCAACGGCATACAGTGTCTACAAACATGATTTCTGAGTATGTCTTCAACTCCTCGAAACGAAGCAAGTTGATGAAGAGCAAGGCCCTGAAGAAGATGCCCGATTCGCGTCCAGCCAAAGATGGCCATGCTTGCCACGTAACACGGCTGTAGCTCATTTGTGGTTTTAGAAGCAAGAATGAACCAAGTTGGTCATTTTGGAATTACACGCGAGCCATGACAACTTACAAGCAGCTTGTTACCACCAGACAGCACTCCTTATGCAAGACAAGCGAGAAGAATCAAAGAAACGCTGATACTATCATGAATAAGACGCTGTAAGCTACAGGGGAGACAGTTTGCGTAGTTTAGTAGATGAGCTTTTCTAGTATTTGTCAGGTTTAAGAAGACGGCAATGCCACATATGTATAACGACAGGACACGGCGTGCTTACATGTGTAGCTTTCTGCCTCTTTTCGCATATCTACGTGGTCAACGCCGCAAGAGGAGCAATTCACAGCCAGTCATAATCAGGGCGGTAACGGAGCTGTGCCAAGGATAATGGCCGATGGCGATGCAGAAGCAGCAAGAATCCAATAAAATGCTCAGCGGGTGTTTGTAAAACAGACGAGTTGTTGGCAACTCTGACTGTAGCCCCGATACGCGCACTTGCGACGACGCGCTGATTAGAGTCGACAAATATACCCGACACAATTCTACAATTCACTGTTGAAAAGTGCCATTTGATGCTTGTACGAGATGTTGCGATGGCCCACTGGGGCGGAATACGTCAACTCTCAAAGGTTGGCAACGCACGGAGCGGGCAATGACATGGACATTGGGTTTTTTCTCACAATCATCACGCTACGTGAAACCTTTTAATGGAGAACAGTAATGACGATATAAGTTGATTCCTGACAAGTGCCTGAACAGAGGATGTAGTACGCCACGCCGTTAAACTGCATCAGCTACTATCAATGTCATATCACCACCAAATAAAAGGTCTTTTCATTTATAATCCGCTCCCCAAGCGTCGACTATATAAAAGTAGCCAGCTTCTCGGGAACTTCTGAATCTTCTATTCCGCAACTTGACTTGTCATGCTACGTTTCCCCTCCCCCCTCTTCAGCTTTCTCAAGCGCCGATCTGATCTTGCCAACAATCTCATTAGTCTCTTCCACATTGATGGAAAAGCCAATGAGATGCTCCCAGACGTATATTAAGATGCTCTTCCATCTCCACGCTACAGCGACACCAAATCAGACTTTAGAGCAAAGAGTTTCGTGAGCCTCCTCAATGGCGGCATCATGGCTCTCATACTGGGCGCTGCCGCACTTGCCTATTGGACTGAATCTCGATTCACGCACTCTAGGAACGTAAAAATGGCTAAAACTAGCACCATTTCATTTGCGTCGGTAATTCCGGGTGCGCCATCTGGTCAAATCACTCCGCACACGGGGAGATTTGGAGCTGCCGGCGCGGCTGCGAATAAAACATTGCGACTATTGCGTGCAGGACACTCCGATAGCAGGGAACAGGCGAGGGAAAAGGCCGAATGATGCGTCTGGACACACTGGCTTCACCCATGTGCGCTTCGTGTATCCCGTGAGGAGGGAACCAGATGGTCCCGGACGACTTCACGCTGGAAATACCGGCAGGCCAAAACGACAGCAATCGCTGGGCCGGCAGGGTCGTGCATGTCCAGTCCGCTCTCCTTACCGGATAGGCTCTACCTGCCACTCCTACTCGATTCGTATTGACGGCCCAGAGACCTCCGAGCTGGATATCCCTCTGGTCCGCACCAAGATGAAGGCCGTCACGACATCTTTGTCCCGTTGAAGACGACCATGTTGACAACATTACTTTTTGGTCTGGTTCTGTGAAATAGTAAGCCATGGAATCCATATCCAAGTCCCTCTATTCTTGCAATACTTTAGAACAATCCAAGACAACAGCACACCTGGTTGAAGACGCGGCCATGGCCGCCAACACCTATGGGCTATCAACCGCACGACGCGCCAACAAGATAATAGTATGGAGGACGATTCTGTCACCGAGCAAGGAAGCCATGACGAGCGCACAAGCCAGCATGAAACATTCGAGTCCCCCGCGGCCGCACAAAAGCTTCAAGGCGACGAAGAGGAGCACGATAGCCGCAACAGGGAGCCAAGCGAGCTAACATTGAAAGATGCAACATGAAGTGATGAAGTGAAAAGGCTAAAAAAGAGGCAACAAGACACCAGTCTCCCGCAGAGGGTCCTTCAGCGCCGCAAGAGACATCTTGTATCGTTCCTCATCCAACTCAACCACCAGGAAGATTTCCATCCCAGCACCCAGTCTGGTCGGCACCATCTCGACTCTTCTCAGGCATGGCATACCCGCCATCGGGAATATCCTCCGGCAACACAATGCTCGCTCCCACGATCCCTCCGCCACCCTGTGCCGGCATGCAGCAGTCCACCGCGTCAATCGCACTCCGAGGTCGCATCCCCCCAAGGCCGGCCGTTCGTGTATGCTTCATCGAGGCGGCCCAACAGCAAGTTGCCCAAGGGGGACGCGCAGCGCTCACCAAAAATTGCCAAGTACTTGTCTCTTTCCTCTTTGGAATATGCCAATCGGTAGTACTAGTCACCTCCACGTCCCTCATTCCGGTACAGGGGCGCCTCGTCCTTACTGGGGGAAAAGGGAGGGGGAGTGCATGTACTCACACTTCCTCATTTTGCTTCATGGCCACGCAGCATCGCGCAGTCAGGTGGCATCGCATCTCCTCGTATACCCCAGACGCGGGCGGCGCGAACGACTGATGCAGCGTTGCTTCTCGAGACGCCACGCGAGACCCGGCCCAGCCGCCGGTGGATGGATGGGCTGGCGCTCAAATACAGACAACTCCTCAAAGGGGGAGGTGGCACTGCGCAAACTGGGCGTTTGCATATCCGTCGCCGGACGGCAAAACGGCATCATTTCTGCATACTATCACATTGACAGCAGCGTCTACAGGTCGCTTCGTCGCCCTGGTCGGCACGACGGGCAGCGGGGAGAGTTCCGTGGTGAAGCCGCCCGAGAGTGCCGCTCGATCCAATAATGATGGGGGGCATTCGACATGACATCCTGCAGGGCCTTCGGGGCCAGCCCGCAGTGTGGAGCAGAGGTGCCGTGCCGTACAGCGGAACGATACGTGATAGCATCATCGGCGATGGCGACGAGACGGATGGTGCTATCGGGCAGGCCTGTCAAGATGCAAGCTTGTGCCATGCTCCCCCTCCGTTTCTATAACCATTGACTCTAAACAAGGGCTGAACCTGGGACGGAGCCTCGAACATGGCACTAGGAATCCCTATCCTCTGGACTCAATATTCTCGTCGGACCACGAGGCATCCAAGTCTCGGGCGGGCAGAAGCAGAGCCTAGGAAATGGCTCGATCTGTGCTACGCAACCCCAAGATATCGCAAGTCTCGCCTACACACGCCAAAGAGGAGTTTTGCAAGATTCTTTGCCCATCAAGACTCTTGAATGAAGCAACCTCAACACTTGATCCCCTATCCGAGGCTGTGGTGCAGCAGGCGTTGGCTGCTGCCGCTGTTGGGCAGGCAACTATTGCTCTTGCCCACGCTAACCGCATTTACGTATTCGGTAACGGATGGGCCGTTGTATGGGCTGTTGAACAAGGCACCCGCGCGGGCTTGATGACAGAGCGCGGGCGTTATTGGGAGTTTGTGGGTTTGCAGAGCATGGGAAACTAAGCCAACCATGCCATGCTCGCATGAGTGACATCCGCGACGAAGACGCATGAATGAGGGCCCCATAGCTTCTGGAAGAGGGAGATTTTGAAGACTTGACAAGCAATACAATCATATTTGATGTTATATCCCCTCAACGCCAGCTCCTTTGTCACAGCCCTCAAAACCCCCTAGTTGATCTCAAGAGACAACTTCCTCAATTAACACTACTCACTGCCATTGTCGATATCCCTCCCAAGCTGCATCCACCCCATACTGCTTTCCAAATACAAAGCCGCCACCAACAGGATGCTGCTGTGCTTACTGCATATTAATGATCAGTGAACCCATTATTTTCATATTGATTGGTATCAGCCATCCACGCGAGATAAATGCTGTTTTTTTCTTTTTTCTCTATTCCGTAGTGGTTGTAATTGTTGAGTTGATATTGAGAAGAGCGTGCATGCCTGTAGAATATTCTTCCAAGACACATCCATCGTCGCCTAACCCTCAAGACGAGTCCTTTCTAACTTTTCGCTTTCCAGCTAGTCGGCTCTCCGCACCATCCTCATCAGGGTTCCATTCCTCCGGCTGGAAGTCAGGATTCCCATAGTGAGCCCTGTTCCACACACTATTCTTGAAAGTGTTCGTTGTTACTTGGAAGGTGGGCTCGGGGAAGCTGTTATTTTCATACTCGAGCTGATGGGTGCTGAATCGTATCGGATATCCTGTGGCGCCAGGAGTCGCCATGTGGGAAGGGAGTTGTTGAGGGCCCAGGTTTGTAGAGGGAGGCATCATTGGGGCATTGGAGCTCATTGGTGTGGTTGGTGTTAGAAGAGGAGATGGTGAAGGATGCTGGACCGTCGCAACTGCTGGCGGTGGCTGCGCTGGGGACTCTCCTTTGGTCGACTGTATGTCTGTCCCATATTGTGGCATCCACACCGCCTGTTGGCTAGAAGAATAGGCATCTCCAATAATAGGATTAGTTGGTGCCGTCACTGCTGGCATGGGCATCAAACCCGCTAGTCCATCTGAAGATCCAGTGCTCAAGCCAGGGATCATGCTAAGAGCACCAAAGTCGACGGTAGAGAAGGCGCCCATCGAGGCTCCTGTGGTGTTAAATGCAGTGTTGTGCGTAAACCCCGTAACTCGATTTACTTGCAACGACACAGGCGGCGGAGAGGCCGTTACCGTGGGCGTTCGGTACAAGATGTCGTAATGATCAGGTCGATAAAGAAGATAGATGAATGTGCCCAATGATGAGACATCCTTGTCATTTGCCTCCTCCGGGAAACGATACTGGTTGACTTGACTTCCTGTACTTCGATCCAGATATGCAATTTCCAGTACGAAGTTGACAGGTTTTAGGAGTATGTTGGCCAATGCCACGATGCCTAGATGCTCAATCTCGCGATTGACTACCTCAATATTATGGCTGCAGTATTCGTCAACACCCTGTCCTCCGGGGATGAAAGGCGCATATGTCTCTGCGTTTGCCTTTAGAAACGTTGCCGCCAACAACCGGAAATAAAATATGAGGCTGCCTTCCACAGCAACGTCATTCCACTTTTGATGAAGTAAAGAGTGGGCAGCGGCTGGCTTGTCGATAATTCTTGCAAGTTCTCGAATCAGATCAAAGGCTTCGTCGGCAAAGTCTTCGAAGTAGTTGTACTCGCCAACTGTTGCCAGCAAATGGTTCAAACTTTTCAAGCGCGCAAACTCTCCTTCAATCTGAGCTTGGTCGCCACGCTCAATGAGAGTCTCAAAGTAGGAAAACCCGATTGCTTAAAGATTGTCAATATGTTTCATCTCAAGAAGCAAATTTTGTGGAAATTTTCGGCGCATGATTGGATATGGAAAACGCGGCTATCGTTGAACGAAATGAGGAACAAGCTTACCTCTCCAGCCGCAGTTGCCATCGCCTCTTATAGGACGATAGTGTGAGTATGTTTGGGGTAGTGCCTATGGAATAGTACAGGAAGGTTAACTTGGCAGCCCAAATGCAGATACAACTAATAGCTAGTAATTGATCATGTCGGTGAAGGACTTACGATTGTCTTCTCAACGTAGACTTGATCTGCTTTCGCGTATTCGTTTGTGATTACTTCACTGGGAGTTTTCTCTCCTACTAAAGGCCCCTGTTGAAATTTGTCTGGTTAGAGCTTGATACAAGACCACCAGAGACTTCAACTCCCCTAAAGGAGATTATAGTGCATGTATCGGAGGTGCTTTGCTCCTGGCGCAGCACACACCGCATGCAGAGCAAACTGAAGAAGAGCCCACCTGAAGCTTCGGTCGATAGTCCTTTGCTGCCTCTTGCTGCGCAGCCATATCATGGCCGTTTGGCTCCTCCATACTTGGTGCTGGCCTGCCCGGCGAATGCTGCTGCTGACGGTTAGCAACAAGCGAGAGCTCCGAGGGTGGCCGTGGTGAAAGCTGTTGGCCCAGGTGGTATTGTTGCTGTGGGTGGAGCGCGTCAGTGGCACACGAGGATGACAAAGAGCCAGTAGCGACACCCGTATGGGCAAGATATTGCTGCTGGTGTCCTGCATGTGTGGGGCTAAACTCTCTCTCTCCCGCATGTGCGGGTGGTGGTAAACCAAAAAGTGGTGCAAAATCTATGCCATGGGATGATGGCAACGAGGAAAAGAAAGACGAAGAGGAAAACGGTGTAGACTGGGGCTGGAACATGCCGCCACTTCAGAAAGAATGAGGGGGGGAAACGAAATGGTTCAAGACGCAGATCGGGGGAGGAGACGATTAATTTGTCGCGTGGATCGTTGTCGCTATCCGGTAGTGGCGTGTTCCGACGTCTGTGATCGGGTACCAGCAGCCCTGGCGTTCGGGTTGAGCAGCGTGAGCGTCACTTGAGTCCGTCGCTTGCCCAGAGATTGTGTGATGTCAACAAGCCTGTTCAGTCCAACATCAGTCCTCCTCTTGTACCGGGTAAACTCGACTCGCCTGTTGCAGGACAACTACTAACCTGCGTTACCGTCTCTGTGTGGGTGGGGGGAACTGCCGAGCCTGGAACAGGGCAGAGGAGGGTTGGGTGCGGTAGTAGCCGCAGACTAGGAACGGCCGGCTCGACAAGTCTCGATGGTGTGAGCGCTGAGAGGCAGGAGCGCATGCGTTAGCGGAAATGTTGGCGATGTGAAGCTTGTTGGGGCGTGGTTGGCGAGCCGGGATTGGAAGACGGCAGGTTAGCGAGCCCTCGGCTGTCGAAGCGTTGTGGTCCTTGGTGCTTTGTCCTCGATTAGGTCTGTGTGCGTCGGCGCACTAGTCAACGACCGGCGATGCAAGACTTGGTTTGGAAATTGTGCTTCAGCTATCGTGGGCCCAAGGAAATTGAGTTGTAGTGATCCGTGTGCAGACGTTGGCCCTGCTCTGTAATATCAAAGACGTAGAAGCCTGGGTTCGGGAGATCGACACCAGCATAAAGAAGAAGAAAATAATCACGGCTGGGTGAGGAGTCACATCCAGCTAAAACCGGGCAGCCGAGACGAAAGACGTGGAGGGTCGGCGGCGAAGCCTACCACAGATCGTGTGTTGTTTGCTGAGTGTGGGGGGGAGGCAAGACGAGGGAAGTGGAAGAAGAAGTAGAGTTCCAAAGTTGAAAGCGACGATTTTGTGAGGAAGGAGCCGTCGCAAAGCAATTGCTCTTGCCAATCTCAGTGTATCGTGGAATTGTCTTGGCCCAGTGTTGGAGACGTCACAGGAAGGAACAAGGCACCAGCGGGGTAGCCAATGAATCGCGGTCTCTCGGCGGCAGCAGGACTGGTGGCCTTCTCGGTGTGCAAAGCACAATTCACCAAACACACGTTGATCTTGAAGAGACGGGAACCGAAAGTCCGGGCTGACGGATGCCGAGGTAAGTACGGAGCAGGTCGACAAAGATGAAAGATGACAGAAATATCTAGAGGAGGTGGAAAATAATATAGACGAGCTGCGATGGCCTACACGGACAGCAGCTCGGGGTCCCAGAGAGGTCGAATGGTCGAAGCACTCGAGCACGCCCCGATGCAATGTCGACAGGCCAAAACAATTGGATGGCCAGAGAGGGTCTGGAGACGCAACTGCGACACATCCAGGCATACATACTACTACAGTACAACATGTTACTCACTTACATCCACCACATATTACCGAGATGTCAACGTCCTAGGTGGTCGACCGGTCCTTGTCCTGGCGACCCGGCCGACATGGGCATCGACATCGACTCCGTCGTCCGCCTCGAGGCATCGCAAAATGGCACAGCCAGGCCGTTGCATGCAGATGCAGCCTCCCCTCTTCACCCTCCTTCGGCTGCCACGCCGTCTCCCGGACGGCCCGTCTTCACGAGCACGGTTGTTCTGGCACACCTCTTGCTGCCACAGAACCTCGTATGTACTATGAAGAGAAATTTCAGATGGTGGCCCAGTCCAGAGCCGATTTCTGCACTGGCCAAGATGATGACATGGCGGGGGAGCCGAGCTTGTCCCAGATCACAGCTCTTCTCCGTGCCGCGACAATCTCACAGGCAGACGCCGATGGGGCGGAGAACTGTTGAAAAGCGGAGAATTGAAGCCCGCAAGTACGACAGGGGCCCCGTTGGTAAGAAGCTTTATTGGACCATGTGAGGGCCAAAGGCGTGAGCTTTTTGCGGGCAAAGGGACCTGGTCAGATGTTTGAGGAGGCGGACACGGGGCTCGCGGAAGATGGGGGTCGACAAGGGTGAGCCCGCGATAAAAGTGTCAGGACTGGGCCTGAAGGGGATTGCCAGCATCGACGCCATTCGTTGCTTCCAGGGCAGAGCTGTGCTGCTGAAGACAAGGTACCGAAACGATTGTCGACCTCACATGTTGTCAAGCCCCCTACCAAGCACTAGGAGCGCACGAGCTGCTGCTTGTCTCTCTTTGCTCGTTTGTTTGCTCGCTCTCGAGGCCTTCTTGCTTGTTTGCTTGATCACTCTGCTTGCCTCGTCCTCACAGACCGGCATGGACTTCTCGGGGGCCGGAGGAAGCGGTCCTTGTCAAAACCCTGGTCCTTGTCCATATGGCTATATCTCCCGCTGTTATAAAAGATATCCCGGCAAACACCGCACTAGAGGGCAAAACAATCGCAACTGCTCGAGGCAACAAGAATGGCCCATCGTCTGGCCGTCGTCATTGCACGCTCATTGCACGCGTCGCAAAGAGCTTATACGTCGATCAATGTGTCAGTGAGTATCTGCAATGCACGTCCAGTCCAGTCGGCTTCATCACCTCCACTAACGCTTGGCCCTCACGTCAACTCCATGTCCAGTTCGTGGCACCACAAACCGGCCCACGTCCCATCGAAGGTGTGCACGTCGCCGGCAAGCGCATTTTAGACTCGAGAACAAGGACACACCACTTCACAAGCAATCCTGCGCAGGGTCTGGGGGCTAAAGTTCTGCTGCGACCCATCGTGCATAGCATTTGCTTTGTGGCCAATCCAACGTTCCCGTGGTGAGCCCTATTAGCTCACAGGCAATTATGTGAAATTGAAAGTCGGCAGCGGCTGCTCCTCGAGCATCCACGGTCCTGGGTAAGGTGAAGGGACCCAGATCAGACCGGTTTGATAACAGCGTACCTCTTGCTTCGACCATGCTGGCCGGAAATTGGACAGCTGGCCTCGGGATTCAGGGCCCAGCACCGGCGAGCACAACCACATCGGCTAGCGTTGTCGAGACTCTCTCCCCCATACATAGTGAGCTTTTGACGTTATGCAGGACCGTTATTTTTCATAGCTGGTCCAGATTTCATAAGTGGACCAACGGCACGGGACGCAACCACAGCCAACTCCAGCTCCGCCGCGAGTCATTGTTTTGGCCTTTGCCTCGACCCCAAACCCCTACGGTTCGTGCAAGCTAGGCATGACCGGTCTCATTTTTTACCAATTGCCGTGACATCTTTTTGATAATGATCCTTCGAGGTGCAGTAGCAGAGAAGGAAGATGGGGCCTTGTCCACATTTCTTGGCAGAACATTGTCAGATACTCAGCTTCCAGTCCGGGAAGTGGCTTGGTCCCCGGCACTCTGAGTCTCGAGTTACAGTACTAGTATTCGCAAGTCAGAAGGCGCTTAACAAGCCTTGGCTACTAGCATCCGACGGCAACCCTTCCGAGATGGGGCGCACGCCGGTCCGATATCATCAGTCTCGCAGGTTTTCCTGAGGCTTTCCACCATGGGCAGTCTTACTTGGATATAGCTTGAGAATGCTTTTCTGGCAATCAACGCAGTATTGTTTATGGCTGATGATGTAAACCAGTGTCATAAAAGTGTGCCCTTCGACACCATCCGAGCCATCATTTTTCATAACAGAAAATTCGACGAAAGGGTTGCATCCGCCGCATGTTGGTTCGCATGCAACCCGCACACATCATCCAGTCCGAAGCAAACCTGAACCACGCAACGACACACCAATGCTCGTCTGCCCTGAACTTCCTCGGCGGCCTTCGCCACTCGCATCCAGCAGAACCCTGGCATAATGCCGAGATGCACATGGGTACGGCTCTGTACCGGGCTGCAACCCTCCCGCGCTCTGCCCAAATCGGCTGATCCAGTAGGAAATTTCTACGCAGATGCAATGCCTGTGAACGACTCCACAACGGATCGCAGCACGTCGATAACAAACTTTGTCTCGATATCACCGATCCTCTACGCAGACGCCCCTCTCGGTAAAAGGTTTAGTTCCCACTTTTGAATCTCTTGTCGTTGGACCCTCTAGGGTCGATGGTCTTCTCAGAGTCTCGATCTTGGTCATGTTTTGTCACTTGGGTCGTTTATTTCACATGTCATGAAGCAGACCATATCCTTCACGTCTCCAGCTGTGTTGCAAGTCTCCGAAAAGTAGGGTTAAATTCTCGCAGCAAGATCAACCTAGCCTTCAGACGAGCCGACAAAGAGGGGTAACAGATCCTGCTGCTTGTTTTCTACTTTGTGAAGCCGCCTTTGGTATCGAGTACAGCAATAATCATCTATCTCTCAGGCAGGAGAGCGTTGCACAAGAATGTCTCTCACAGACTGTTACTTGCTGTTTCAGATGCAGGAACCCACGGTCACCAGAAACCCGTTTTACTTAGTTGCTCAGTCTATTGCCCGCATGTGGGCGCCTCAACGTGTGAAACTGTTGAAAACAATGCCGTTATTGTGGTTATTTTCGTGAGTCACTTGACCCAAAACAACAGAAACTGCGAGTGGAATTTCTTGCATTGACAGATCCATCTCTACGGAATTACCCGTCGCCGTATGAGCACCACATTACAACGCTAGCATCACGTATATGTGACTTTTTCGGCTTCGCACTGGTGTTTTCTTTCGCCTTTGTCGTACAGCATCCTTCGGAAAGGTACAGATTTCAGTCTGTTCAGTCTGTCCCGTCTCTGTCTGTTTCACCCAGATTGGTAATGCGGCTCGGCATGGTACTTCGTATGCTTGTTTGTCATCTATTCCGTACCCCATGTCATTCTATGTGGCCATATCGGAGGCAAATATTATCATGGCTATTAACGAAAGGATCATGAGATATTATGACGAGCTTAACAGGCCGGCCAAGTCGTACCCTTCGACCCACATCCAATGGAGTGCACACGGGTCTTGAACAGATAACTTTGCGTGACCTCCTTAAAACAAACCCACTCTGTGCCTATTCCGCAGAAAAGACTCATGTTGTGTTACGAATTGTGTCCAGCTTGTGGCAAGAGCTCGTGCCCTAGCACAAGATGTGCCCGTCATCTGCAGACGACATGCGATTGTCCCTGGAAGAGCTGTTTTGTGGTTCGGATGGCTACTCGCAAGAGTTCCTCCGCGCGGACGACAAAGGCCCGAGTGGGGGGCAAAAAAAATACAGACAGCACAATCCGTCATTTGTGATGGATCTGATAGATTAATTATGTGCTTGGTGTGCGGTATTGCCAATATTTGTGGCGGCCGCCGTCCGAGAAGGTCTCTCTTTCCTTCTTGGTGCATTTGTGTCCCGAGCTGTAGTCAACGAGTAATGTCGTATCTCAACGCCAGGTAGCACGCGAAGCTTCACGACTGCTACCACGGTTCTCTTGACCCAAATTTTCAGTTTCGGTTCATAGTCGATTTCAGTCTGCTCTTGCTGCGTTGGGGCCTTCCATGGCGCAAGTCCAGTGTCGAGTTCCTCGTTCTTCCTCGCCTTTCGTACTACACACCAATGGTCACCGACTTGCCCAACATGGCTGTATATGCGACCTCAACGTCTCTTGTTTAGCAGGCCAGCTGCTCTACACGTTCTGCGCCCCCTTGAAAAAAAAGGGGGGGTTTTCTAGCGTTCAACAATGGCTCAATCGTGAAACCAAAAGAGACAAAGCCGACGAAAGAACAACCCGAGAACAACCAACGGCGATTTTCGTTGACCGACTATACAATAGCGTTATAATGCTCAAGATGGATTACAACAAGGGGCAGGTGAGAGAGATATTTAATTATTATGATGTCTTAAGAACAACTAGACAGGCCTTGTCTCATGCCCACATTGCGCTTGGAATCTTGCCCTTCTTTGCTCGTTGCTGCCCTGCCCCACGCAGTGCTCTTCCCATGGAGAGGCCCTGGAAGTCCATTGACTGCTCAAAGGAACCATCACGCTCTTTGCTTCGGAAACCATCACCTTCATTGAACACAGCACCAAACAGTTCTGATATCGATGCGGAGAGGCTGCTCATGGCCTGGATACGCTTGATATCAGCGTCGGATGCTATTTCGAGGATTCCATCCTGTTGGTTGATTGTTCCGTTGATCTTGCCGTCTACAATTAAGAATCCAAGTATGTCTTGTACTTCAGGCTGCGATATCTTGAGTTGTTTCGCAATCCACCCGAGTTTCATGCGGGTGTATGGAGCTATTAGCTTCAAAACGCCCTTGGTTCGCATATTACGGGTGACTTCGTCGATGTTCTCAGCGATAAAAGGATCATCCAAGATGTCCTGATGGCCTTGCAATACCTTTTCGTATGCATGGACGTCGTTTCTTTGGTAAGCGTCGACAAGCTCCGTCATGGCTGATATTCTAGGATCAGATTTGTATGGTTTGGTCTCCTGCGAGTCAAACGGGTTGATGTTGGATTTCATCAGCATCGTAGATAAAAGTAAATACTTGAGGACTTGGATACGTTGTAGAGATCCTGCCTCGTCGTAGTTGCGGAACGACTCAAAAAAGTCGCTTTGTGCCTCCTTCCAGTTCTCTTCACTCATGTGCATCTTGCCGCCGCATTCTCTGATGATCCCCATGATACGAGGGTGCGGAACGGCAGACTTGACTTTCAGTGCTCGTTGATACAAAGCCTTGAGCTGTTTGTTGTTCTTGGTCTCGGCTAACATTTGGATCTCGAGGGCGTAAATTTCCAGCGAGTATGTACCTTTACCAGGGTCGTCTGTGCCGTCAGGTCGCTGACAAGCCTTGTGGAGCTCCCGAAGCTTCTTAGAAACCGAGCTGTATTCTTTCCTATCAAGGAGCAGCTTGGCAAGCTTGATATTCGTCTTTAGCCACAGCCGCTCGTTGTTGGTGCTTTGAAAGCTCTGTAGGGTAAGGGAATAGAATTTTTCCATGCTTTTCGCGGCTTCTTTGCCATTGGCGCCTTTTTCAATGTAGTCGAGCATGTTATTAATGGATTTTTCGGAATAATTCCTCGTGACGGCTGATTTGACGTAGGTGAGAAGCTCTGCAAAATGGTCCGCTGCCTAGAGAAGCGTTAACAATGTGAAAAAAGCAGAGTATACCCGATGAAAACCATCTCACCTCATCGTATTTTCCCAACTTGAATTCTAGTTTGATGGCTTGCTTCAACCCTTTGAAGCCCCACTCGCCTTTCTCTTCCTCAAGCGGCGGAATCCCAAGGAATTCGCCAATCGCATCGGAAGGGTCAGTAAGCTTTAGTTGTTTCGCATTGTAGTATTTGTTCTCGATATCGACATCTCCAGACTCGTCGTCCTCGTCTTCTTCGTATTCAAAGTCGTATCTGAAACTTAGGTTAGCTCGAATATTTTGGAGCAGGTGTGACTCTGCCATACTGCTCCTCGTCCGACTCCTGCATGAAATCCTCATCATCCGACATCCTGAGTTCTTCGTTGATTATTCCTCTAGAACAGACAAAGAAAGAAGCGGCACGTCACCATCAAATACCAAGAAGGATTTAGTGAACAATAACGGTCCGCCGCAGAGCTTGATGGAATTCACGGTGATGGATGTTGGGGGAGATGCAATTAGTACTTAGGCAGGCGCGGGGCTGGTCGATGCGTGTCTTCCAAGCAACTGCTCTTATCGATAAGGCACAATTGCCCACACCTCACACCTTGTCAATTGAGCCTCGTTTCCCCTAGTCTCTAGACATCCACGTCGATCAAGACATTTGTTCCGGAAATGTTTGGACTTTCAAGTTTCCCCGACATATTATAAAAAAGATGTTTCTTTTGAAAGGTAGAAAACCAGGGCCTACTGTTTTTGCTAATTACCGAACGCTGTACGCCTTTTCACGGACTCAACCATCTCAGCACACTGCATGCACTGCGCTCATGAAGATGACTGGGCGAATCCTGTTGGCAGTCTAAATGCCAGTATCATTACCCCTGTGAGTACTGCAAGCCCTGCGCAAACCAGATATGGCAGTCCCATCCACACTCCGCCCAGCTCCATACCTTTGCTGAGGAGCCACCCTAGGACTGGAGAGCTGACCAAGCCCATGACAGTTTCCATCATCGACACAGTTGTGTTCAGGGTGGCAACGGTATGAGGTTCGACAACAGCATTCAGCAAGGCTCTGCAAAGGGTCGGAAATCCGGCACCGAGACTCGTGGCGATAAGAGCAGTGATGAACAGCCACACGGTAGGGGCGGCTGCTGTGAGAAAGCTCCCCGCGATGACGAATATTAGCGATATGCGAGCCAGGATTAAATCTCTGTTCAAAGGTCCGACCCTACGCTTGTTCACGAGAACCCATGATCCCGCTGGCAATATTACGAGAAGCACGACCGCTGCTGTGATGTTGCTAACCGTGGAAATGTACGTTGCCTACGCCACGTGTTACTCGAAGACGCTTTCCAGATGCAAAGAAGTGACGTACCGTTGACCACTCCCAGTTAAATCTCCTGGTCATGTACTGCAGCAAATTAAATGTCTGGTTCAACTTTATTGGATAGTTGATCGCGTAGGCAAATATAAGAATCATGACGCTTTTCGAAGCAAAAATATAGCGCCAGATGTGGCCCATGTCGTTTTTCATCGAAAACACAGCATGCTCGAGCCAGGACTTTCGAGGGTTGTTGCTGATGTGCATCGGACCATCGACACTGGCGCCTCGAGGTCGCTTTCTGTCGGCCTGTAGACGGAGCGCCAGCGTTTCTGGCACCAACAGCGACGCAAAGAGCCCGACCACAAGCATGGCGAACCCTAACCAAAGTGCAATCCAAGGATTGATTTTGAGTAGCAGTGCGGCAATGGGGTTTACGATGACCCCTATGATGAGAATCATGGCGTATAGAAGGTAAAAGACGCTCGTGCGCTTGGCCACGGGGATGGCATCCGCGAGCAGCGTCCATATCATGGCTGCCGCCATTTGCCCGCCTCCCCCAATGAGATACGCGATGTTGCCATACAACATTGACCAGACAGGAAAGGAGTTGGGCATGCCCACTGGTGTGCTTGTTAGCCGTGATGCAGTCCGATCATGTATACCAGCTTCTGTCTGTTTTGCTTACAAACTAAGAGAATCCAGGCAGTTTGGATGACGGCTCCAAATAAGGCCAGGAACAGGACAGGTCGCCGGCCATACTTGTCGGCGATGATGCCGTAAGGGATCTGCACAAAGAAGGCTGCATCGGAACGATATGTTATATTAGACTTCCTTCTACGAGGCTTGGTCCACAGCGCATGGCGAGAACTTACGAACAAACATCTCGGCTGATATTTCCCATGATCGCAGCATGGCCAATTCTGTCTGGACTCTGTTGTCTTTGCAACGGCCATCAGTTTTTGACATGATGCCAACTGGATGATCTGGGTAGATTTCGCCACAGATACGGTCCTCCATGACTTGCTGCAAAGGCGGCTGCATGATGAATACGCTGACTTCGACGATGAACGCGAAGAGCACGCACATGCTCAGAACCAAGTGCTGAAAGGCCTTGTCTGGTACGACATCTGGCGGAGGATCTGTGTTAAGAAGAGGCGATTCTTCAGTTGAAACATGCCCGAAATAATCCTCTGCTTCTCTTTCCACGACACCACTGGGGGTTCCGCCACGTCTCTCCTCATCTTCAAAAGTCATGTTCAAATATTCCAATAGGTCTGTGGTCAGCAAAGTTTCTTTGGCCGTTGGTGAACAAGACACGCTCCGGAGAGTGCGGTTCGGTTTTTGATTGTGTCTCGCACCGTTGCAGCAGACAAGGGTCGCAATCAACAAAGCCTGATGAAAAGCAATAAGGAATAGTCGAAATTGAAGAAGAACAAGGGACATGTACAACAAAAATCGAGGAACATTTCGCCAAATAGCGCAGAACTCTAATGGGAACTGTTACACGGGATCCGAACCCGAAAACGGGCTGTTTAGCGCCGAACATCCACGAATAGTTAGTCAGTGCCAAACTACGGAGTAACTATGCGATCAATGACGAACGATTTGCTCGATTGTTTCCATGGGGGGCTGCTACACCCATGGCTCCTTCACCGGTTTATTAAACCAATGAAAAGGTATTCCAACTGTCAGACCTGCAGGTAACAATTGATCTGGAAGTAGCCAACAATGATAGCCGTGGCTTGATGGTGGCGGAATTGCTCTCAGCCCTGCATCACAGTGCCACGCATTTCATCGTCTTTGTAGCGAATGGGCATGCAAACGATGACGGCAGCTAGTCGAGGAGTGCGTGGAGAGCAGGAACTTGTACCCGGTTGGTCAGCTTGAGAATCCTTCAAGTCCACCTTGTCACCCTGGTTGCAAATCGAGAGTAAGCGGACGATGGCGTCGCCCGAGTGGGCCTTGTCCTCGGTTTGCCAGACAGGGTGATTTGCCAACTAGGCCAAATATCAGGCCTGCTTCTTCCCTGGTCTTCGTTGTCTCGGGCTTCGGGAACCGTGGCAGGTCTCGATGGAGATTGCTCAACCCGATACGGAGTACTCGGATTATGATACGCCTCGAATCAACTGGCGGAACACTATATCAAACAGTTGTTATGTCTATGTGCTTGCGACGTCTCTGCTCTTTTGCAGATCCCAGTAACGCTCGTCCTTTCGACAAAGACTGCCTGCACCTTTTGCCTGGTAACATCAGAGGTATGTGAGCTGAGGCAGTTGAAGCCGTATGGGCCCTTCTCATATGTGATTGGCTCCTTGACTCTCACAAGCTGGTGCACACCGTTTCTTTTTCTTTTTTTTAACCCCAGTTCCCTTTCTTCTGAACAGGAAGAAGACTCCACAAGACTTTCTTCGAATAAGGCACCAGGCTAGTATCAAAGCAGCTCTTGAGCAGAGACTACCTCCATCTGCTTCCGCTGCGCCCACTTTGAAGCAACCATTTCTGCGACACGGCGCGCTCCTTAGGATTTGTCTTACAAAAGTAATAGATTTGCTTCCTGGGCGCTCTAGGTGGTCCGATTGTCCTTCGAGGACGTTGAAAGAGTAATGAAAATAGAGCCCAGTCATCTGAATACATACAGCATAAAGCGAGCCTCCACGAACCCTGAGCTCATCCCATAGCGACATACCACCATCGCCACCGGCCCTTTTGCCCAAGTTTTTCGAATCACTGGGTGAAGGGATGCCTTCAGATATGATACGATATAGCTCAAGCTCGACTTCCAATTCAATTCGTTCCCGTGGTAGATCTGGCGGCTCGCCCTGGGAGAAATTTAGAGAACCCCAATCGAAGCAACGTTGTCTTTCTGTCGCATAAGACTAACAATGCCCTGTATCAGGCGACTGCCTGTACCAAGTAAATAGCATTCATTCTCGACTAGCATCTCGATAAGATATTACCGTCATTTCCCTGTTGTGCCCTCTACGCTTTAGTTGCCCATGGTTTTCTCATAGGTGGATCTTTGGAGTATACTTAGCTAATTCACCTAAGACCCCGAGCGCAATAAAACCACGAGAACTAAAGAGCAAAAGGCAAGGCAAGAGGATGACGGTATTATCTCATTCGCGCATGAGAACTCTGGTTCTCGACTCCATTTTATGGCAGACGGAAGACGGCAATTACAACACGCGAGTCAGCTGATTACTCGTATCGCGGAGATGTAATGGCAATAAAGTTGACGCTCAGGTGACACTCAACTGTTGAATGACGGGAATTTTTTTACACTTCCTAGGCTGCTCGTTCCGTCGAAATGGAAATACTGAGGCTGAGCTGGAAAATTCAGCCGTCGCTGACTCAGAAAGCCAGAGACGTAACCCAACAGCATTCAGGATTAGAGTGAGGCTGCAACACATGGGACATCAACAAACCAAATGAGGGGAACCCGGGTGAATCTGGCCACAAGAGAAGTGGAATTACTGTGATCCTAGACATGGTACAGACGAGACCCGACATTTAGATGACGCCTGACCGAAGAGTGACTCCATGGTTTGCTTGGTGCCGCCTTCCACCACCCCAACGTCTCCTTCTCCCCTGCGATCTGATGGATTTCCGCCTCCTACTTTCTGTTCTTGATCTGGACAACAGGTACATCTGTAGGCGGTCCAACTTTTGGGTGGTTCGCCAGCGAGAATGTCCTTGGCCGCTGACACGTTGGACATGCAGACCCTCGTTTAAGGGTGATGCGTCTTGGAGCACATCCCACGTTGGGACACTCCCAAGCTGGTTTCTGCAACGGTGGCATTCTGGCTTACGTTGAGTCACTCGGTCGTAGAGAGGCCATGCGTAAAATACTGTGACTTGTTAGCTGGGAACTTGATATATGCTTGGAGACGTCCATACCCAGTTTTCAAGCAACACGATACTGTTTGTCAACGACGTTTGGGAACAAGGGGGATGCCGGGTACAGAAACCCAGTCGACAACAGCGCCCGCAAGATGTTATATACAGTGCTCAACCATGATGAACATATGCAAGCTTCTTGTGCAGTGACAACGGAGAAGCGCATACACACTACGTGGACTCCCCTCACCTATCAAGGGTGAACACGCTCTTTGCAGAGCCTTTTACCAGTTCTCGGGGGCCGGTTTACATCTGACGCCTATTGTTTGTAGCTTGAGGCTCCTCGACTGAACTAACGCTGGTCGTCAATATCTAAAAATCGAGTCGAGTCATTCGCAACCAACTGCCAATTCTTGCCACAGGTTTGGGCGCAACTGCTCACATCATACGGCCTGAGGGAAAAGTAAAGGCATCAATACCCCACACGGCTGCATCAGGGTCGTCATGAGGCAGACTAGAAGAGAAGTGAGGCTGTTTTGGTGGTTTTAATGCAACACGAGAATCTCCGCCTTCTAAGTGGTGTGCCGAAGAAAGCAGGAGGTTCACCGAGGTCGGCGGCTCCAGATCCGTGCCGGAGTTGAGGATGAACGATTCACCAACCCGGTTTTAGCAATCAGAGCTTGAAGTTAAATCATGAGAGTAAACGAACGATGTCCAAGATAGACTTTGCCACCAGATACGGGAAGAAGAATTCATCTCATCTGGGAATTGTCAGACGCCAAGTCGCCCACGTCGGCAACTTCCCGATGGGCAGATGGTGGCGGAATTTGGAGCCAGCCCTGCCTTGTTTATGCATGTCCCTTGTACATTTTCAGCCCGTACAAGCCTCCTGCGGACTAGTACCGAGAAATGCAGATTATTGGCTGTCTTGGCCGGCAATTTTGGAGAGGGAACGCCCCTTTGTGAGGCTCAACACTTTATCGTCGACATGGCCAAGCGCGCACGGAGACTGTTGAGTTGGTAATTCGGAGCTGAATCGCCAATATCCGCTTCGAAAAGAACAATCGCCACCGCCAGGAGCCGATTCGTCTGAGACAATACCGGCTGACAACTTGGGTTGTGGTGTGCTACTGTGATCCCGGGCGCAACGTGGCGCCACGCCGCCAATGCAGCAAAAATGATGGCCATGTATTATTCGCCGCTCAGCTATACAGTCCCTGTAATCGACGTTTTTGCACCTTGAATCAGGCCGGAATAGGTATGCAGTCGGGTTTCTCGTATTGTGTCACAAGACCGTCTACTTGAGCCATATCTCACCTTGCGGCTAGCCAAGGTGACAAACCACGACAAATTGGGGAGTCTCTGCTGGTGCATGTAAAACAACTGCGTCAAGTTTTGCCGGCGTATTGGGAATTCTGTTAGGATCATGGGCCATACATGAATACACGGTCAAACTAGCCAAGATTGATCAAGCACACATTTTCACAACAAACTTTGCATACAAAGAACCGCATACAGCCATAATCCCGGCCATCACCACGTCCCCGGGCCAAATGTTCCATTTTCAGGCACCGTCTTCAAAATAGCAGCATACGTCGCGTCTAGCGTTTCAAAAACAGCTACGTTCCCCCACCACTGTGGCACTGTCACGTTGGGAAACGTAATGGCAAAGAAGATGACGATGGTGCTCAGGATCAGGCCGGCATCCAGCGCTGCAGCCGTGGTGTAGTTGTACGTCGTCCACCAACCATTCCACCTATTTCGAATCCACTTGTTGAAGATGAGCCCGACGATCCCCCACGACGAAAAGCTCAGGGGTGTGGCCGGCGGGAGCCAGGCCATGGCTCCCAGCATGATGGGCGCCTGAAAGTGTCGGAAGAAGGTGATCCTGAGAGTCCTTGTCAGGAGGTATAACAATACAGGCAGCGCCGCGCCCACGAGCCAGAACCAATTGAAACGGGCGTACATGCCTCCCACGCCAAACATGCGTCGAGGTCCAATGACGCCCCATACAATGCTGGATGAGAAGAAGGCCCGTCCGTTGGGACATGTGAAGTGGTTTCTTTGCAGGTTGGTGCATACGTCGGGGATGTTTCCGAGTGTCCAGTTCATGACGGCAATCTGGACAAAGACTGCCCAGATGGTAGGCACTACCTGGCACCAAAATGTGATTTTGGGCGGAATCTTCATGTAGTGCGCGAGCTTCAAGTCGCCGCTGTAGGTCTGGGCTTGTCCCAGGGTGATTGTGCTGAACACCTTGAAGAGCATGACGCCAATCGGCCGGCCCGGGATCATGAAGCCGGCGAGAAAGGGTGAGATGACATTGAGGCTGAGCAAAATGTTGGACACGGCAAGGATCATGGTCGTCGGAATAATGAAGACGAGGGCCACGAGTACAGAGACAAAGAATGCCCACCACGGAAGTTGGGAATCGTACGCTTCGGCAGTGGCGAGGCCAAAGGCCATGGCGAGGAGGAACAGCGCGCCATACCACCAGTCGGGCGCCTCGGCATATTTTTGCATCATGCTCAAGTGAACATCGGGCTCCTGGCTTCGTGCTGCGCGGAAACGATGCCAAACTTCGTTGCCGTGGTACAGGGCGATGTGGACAATGGCTGCGGTCAAGGCCGCAAAGGACAGGCCGTAGTTGAGCGCAAACGTTGGCGCCAGGAAGAGCGGCGAGTATTCCCTGTACTTGGCTTCGTCAAAGGTGAAGCCGCTCCCGAGAATTCGGCTGACATTGTAGTTGCTTTGCGTATTGTCGTAGGTTTGTGCCGTCACCAGGGGGAGATGGTCGGCGAACAGCGTGCCGCTGTACACCATGCCGATGGTCGGGACGAGCACAAAGACGAACAGGCCAACCAAGGTGTTGACATGGGAGTGAGTAGGGGCTAGCAACGGGTCTCCCAGGTACGCCGTGACATAGGTCCAGTCAAGGGTGAGAGGGATAAGCGACAGCCCGGTGGTCCCTCCGAAGAGCTGGTTGACGACGACATTCCTGGGCCGGATCCAGGTGGCAAAGGCAAACACGGATAAGCCCTGCCACAAGACGCCAGGGATCCAGTAGTAGCAAAACATGGACGCAGCAACCATAGCGAACCACCGGTACCGACTCACCAGCCAGCCGTTGGAGCGGAGGCCGTCGTCGCCCTTACTCTTGTCGTGCAGGGCGTAAAAGAGCGAGGTGCTCGCAAACTGATTGGGCCACATCATGGCGGCAGGCCAGACGAGGAACCGGCGGAAGAGGCCGGCGAGGGAAATGTCAATCAGCTGGGAGCTGAGGGTGAAGAGCAGCGAGAAACCCCAGCCGAGATTCAAGTTGTAGAATGGCCTTCCCTGCAGCGCCAGCAGCGCATCCGTGCTGTAGGCATATCCCAGCGAGACATTGGCCATGAGGGTAATGACGACGTGCTCTTTGATGGTGAATGGGCCCGGGTTGAATGTCCACCGCACTCCAAGGGTGTCAAAGACTCTTGCTGGCACGAGCCTGGCCCAGAGGCACCCGACGGGGTAGACGAGCAGCTGGACGACGATGGCGGGAAAGTTGATGGCAGGGCTCCTGTAGTTCTGGTCAGCATCCTGACGCATGGCTTTGCTCCTCTTTTCTCAAGAACGGGGGGGGCGGCGCACCGCATGCTCAAAAACATGTTGAGGCCGCTGCCCACCGTCACAAAGATGATGCCGAGGATCCACGCTCTCACGGTACTCGCCACCTGTTCGTGGTCGGTGTTGCGGACGGCAGCCCGCACTTCTTCATACGGGGAATCCTCGCCGAGGACGTGGTCTGCGTGGGCAAGTCGTTGGGCATCCCCACGTTTCATGGCGTGGTCTCTTTTGGGCTCGCCCAGGGCCGTCTCTGCCGCGGTGGCGGACTTGCTGCTGGGTGATGTGTCGTCCGCGCTGGACACTTGCAAGGGCTTCTTCATCGTGTTTTGCCTCGTCGTCCCCGCGTGAGTCGTGCGTCGATGCGCAGAACAGCAGGGCGGGGACCGGCGGGTTTAAGAAAAGGAAACGCGCTGCTGTACCGATCCAGAACGACCAGGGGCATCATGGGACAAATGCTACCTGCAGAGCGAGGAGTAATTGCCATAGGCCCGGCACTCGGGATCGCGATGGATGGTTACAATCCGCGCTCACGGCCTAGCTTGGCGCTCTCCCGGATGAAGCATGATGGAGACGGGGCCACCGGTGCGTGGTGCGTCTCATGCCGGGCGGTGACGAAGCAGAAAGGAGAGCATCTTGATTCTTGGGTGTTGATTTGCCGTCGGCGTTGCTCAGCGTCAAAGTGTAACACGGCATTGGTCAATCCGCCGGCCAGCCTCGTCAAACGATTCCCGAGGGGCCTGCCACATGTAAGCGGGGGATACGAAACGAAACATTACTCGGGATGGGATGGATTCGCATGTCTTTCGGGGGCCCAATGAAGAGCGCGGCAAACGAGTGGATGGACAGATAAAACGGAAGTTTCCCCGCCGCCTCCGCGTCGGAGAAGGAAGCCGCGAGACGCTCAACTCGGCCTGATTCGCAGCCTTATTACCATCAACCCGTGGGGGGTTCCGATGGTGTCGCGGGGTTGACTGTCAAAAGTCCCCTGTTGACCTGGTTAATCTACTCCGATGCAGGACTGGACTCTTGGCGTCGATGTCATGTCTGGGGCCAATGGCAAGGTTGGCATGTTGGTTACGGAGTACACTCGAGTTGGTGCGAGTTTCTCCACGGAAGCCAAGCAAGGCGCATTGAAACCCCGGTCCACCCGGGACAGCACACTGTGTCTGCTTGAAGCCTTGGTCTCTGTAGTAGGATGCTTGCCCAGATTCATCGCTGTGGTAGCATTAACGACCGTATGTTCGATATTCGTCCGGTCTTGCTCGGATCCGGTACCCTAGTTGATTAAGACAAAGGTTTCAACATGACAATTCAAAGAGTCGCGTCGATAGCTAATCATTTTTTGGGGGCTGTATTATCATACTTACGAACGGATGGCAATGTCAACGGCTGACTGGGGCTGACTCTACAACATGACAAGACACGACGATGAGAACAAATCGTCAACCTGGCCATGTGCGACCAAACACATGAACAAATAAAAGTCTGCCACTCGGACATTAATTTCGAATTTATACCCATCTATTGGTCATTCTCTGTAATTCACGACATACGACGTTCAACTAGCCTACACTTTGTCCTCGATTCCGTCTTCTTCTCCAAGGCCTCGCTTGGAATCTTGCTCTTTGACCAAAGTCTCTTGTCAATCGAGCGAATCATATAGCCGACGCAACCCATTGCGCCCTTGTGAGATGCACTAGCGCAGTTTGTCCCGTCTGAAGGAATATCAGCCAATATCTCATGATGGTGGTTTTGGACGGCACAAAACAAGTCCAGCCGATTCGCATTTCACGGGTTCCAACACAACTATTCAGAACAGAAAATGATGAAAAGCGCGACTCCATTATAGCACCTTGTTCCACTGCCATGCTGTGTAATTATTCTTAGGCAGCTAGTTCCGGGTGGCACGGATCATTCGGCTCGTGATTTGGACTGGACCATGCTGTTGCGAACGGCCACTTGGACGACGTCGGTTATCCAACAGCGACGGTGCATGGTCCAGTCCCAAACAAATGTGTTTGCCGCTCTTGTACCCGTGAAACAGCTACATGGCCAGCATCGGACCCCGAGTCGGTGCAAATAGCAGCATTGAAGCGTCGAGACGGTCGGTTTTTAATGGGGTCCCTGTGGAAATACGTTCGGATGCCGAGTGAGTCATGGGCGCGGCACAAACGAGGCAAAAGTACCCAATGCGTATATAAAAAAGGACCAATGCAGGAAAGTAAATCTGCGTGTCCCAATAGCCACTCTGGGAAGCCAGCGTAATCTGTATTCAACTGCCGAGTAATTGGTCGCGGTTGTTGTCCATCTCCACTGCCGGCACAGATAAGCCGGTTGTCCATACCCTTCCTTGATTCGAGAAGCAAGCTCTATTGTTCGATTTTTACTTTATTTTTTCTATTTTTTTTTTTTTCATGTTTTTCATCTTGTGAATTCCCCCGTCCTATTTGTCGACATGGATTCGCCGTATTCTGCGCTAATGCATGCTAAGAACCCAACAGCAGCCCCAGGAAACGAACAGCCACACCCAACACCACCATGATACCACCGTCCACGAAGCCCATCGTGCTAGACGGGCGCACCGGCGAAGGCGGCGGCCAGCTCGTCCGCATCGCCTGCGGCCTCGCGGCACTCACATCGCAGCCCGTCACCATCGAAAACGTCCGTGGCAACCGCGAGGGCGGCCGAGGCGGCGGTCCGTCCCATCCCATCCGTCTCCCTGTACCAGCTCGCTCGATGCCATCGTGACTGACCTCTCTCTCTCTCTCTCCTGACAGGCCTCAAGGCGCAGCACGTCACGTCGCTGTCGTGGCTTGCACAAGTCACGGGCGCAGAAACCACCGGCCTGGCAGTCGGGTCCAAGACGCTCACATTCAGCCCCAGGCGGCCGCCGACGGACCTCGTCCAGCGCCGCTCCGAGATCAAGGCCGACACGGACGCCGCGAGCGCGCTGCTAGTTCTGCAGGCCATCTTCCCGTACGTCTTGTTCGCGGGCAACCACGCCCGTGAGCCCGTCGTGCTCGATATTTGGGGCGGCACCAACGTCCACTGGTCGCTTAGCTACGAGTACTTTGACCAGGTTCTCGCGCCGACGCTGGAGGAGAGGTTCGGCATCAGGATGGAGAGGGCGCTCAAGGCGCGCGGGTGGAATCTTGGCCCGAGATCAAGGGGCCACATGACGCTGACGATTCACCCGGTGCCCAGGGGCGCGACGCTCAGGTTCTCGCCGCCCCCGGAATACGCCTTTCCGGAATCATACCGGGTCCGCAGGGTAGACGCGAGCGTCGTCGTGCCGGGGGCGTCTCACGCGCGTGTGCAGGAGGAGCTCGTCGCCGCGCTGGGCCCTCTGTACCCCGACGCCGACGTCGAGTTCAGGGTGGTGGAGGACTCGGGGAGCGACGCGCGATGGAGCATCCTGCTGGTTGCGCACTCCGAGGGCGGGATTCGCTGGGCGCGCGACTCGCTCTTCTCCATGCCCAAGAAGCCCAAGACGTCGCGGGACAGGGTGATCCAGGCCGCGTGCGCCGGTCTCTGCAAGGCGCTCTACGAGGAGACGAGCCTCGGCGGAACGGTCGACGAGTTTCTCCAGGACCAGCTGCTTTCCGTGCAGGCTCTTGCCGAGGGGTACTCGTCCTTTGTCCGGGGCGGGGACCCGGCCGGGTCTTGCACGAATGGGCCGGTCGGCGAGGAGACGAGGATGAGGAGGGAAAAGACGCACGAGCCGTTTGGACACGGCTCGACGCACACCACGACCGCAAGGTGGGTGATTGGCGAGCTGCTCCCCGAGGCTGAGTTCTACAACAAGGGAGACGTGGTCAGGGGCGTTGGCTTCTCTCTACAGGGGCCATGATGGAAAAAACAAATGCATTCTAAAACTGTAGCACAAAAGCACTTGGCACCTATATGCGCCACGTCATTCGGGCAACTGGCCGAAGCGGTACTGCGCCCATCCCATGCTCCCCTCGTGAAAAGTCCACGTCTGCTTGCCCCGGTCCTCGTAGGCCGCGCCGGCCGCCACAAACACGGGCATCACATGGTCCATGTAGGGATGGGCCTGGCGCGCGTCGGGCCGGGCGCACACGGCGGCCATCCTGTCCTCCCTCTGGGCCGGGTCCGCCTCGACCGCCTCCCGGAGCGCATTGTCAAAGCTGACCGTGTAGGGGAGCGGCGCGCCGTCGCCGTCAAAGACGGAGTGCAGGTCGCGCAGGTTGTGGACCGACATGCCCGCGCCGATGATGACGACGCCCTCGTCTCTCAGCGCCGACACGGCCCGCCCGAGGGCGTAGTGCGCCGACGGCGACTCCGACTTGAACAGCGACACCTGCACCAGGGGCACGTTGAGCGGGTTGGTCTCGGGGTCGAATGCTGCGAGTTTTATTGTCAGAGATGCGCGCGCCAAGGGCCCTTTGCTTGCCACGTACCGACGGTGAAGCCTGACCAGACGCCGTGGTCGAGGCCACGGCTCACGCCTCTGCTTGCGATGCCGGCCTCGGACAGCATCACCATGATCCTGCTGGCGAGCTGGGCGTCGCCCTTGTTCGGATACTTGGCCTGGTAGTAATGGTCGGGGAATCCGTAGAAGCTATTGGCGACTCTTGGGTCAGGCAAAGCCCACGCGGGCAAGATTCATGTCCAGATGGTTAGGGGGGTTAAACAAACTCGTATATCAAGTCGGCGTGCTCGTCCTCGTTGACGTAAATCTCGTCCCTTGCGCCCTGCCAGTGCGCGGAAAACACGACGACGGCCTTGGGCTTGACCTTTTGTGTGATTTCCCTGCCAATCTGCTGCAGGACCGGGTAGGCGGCGTGCTGTGTGTCATACTGGACGGTGGGCTGCCGGGCAATGGATTAGTCTCAGTGTGCAGGGCGCTGACGGGCGAGGCGACTTACGCCTCCGTGGCTGAAGAAGTAGACGGGCGGTTTGGTCATTGGGGCGGCGGGCGACGATGATGTGTTTTTGGAGGACGGGGAGCTCGAGCTCGGCTGCCGGAAGGGCGCTGCTGTTTTGGCGGCAATGTCTGTGAGGGAGATGGGCGACAGGAGAAGAGCGAGCACGACGGCTATGGAAGCGAGGGCCAGGGATCGACTGGACAGCCACGACATTGTCTGCTCGCTGGGGACTTGGTTCCTGGTGCTGCGGCTGCGATGCCCGCCGTCTTATAGACGGTCAATTGCATCGATGTCAACTGATGGATTAGCAATTAGCGCGCGGCAACTGTGGAGTTGATGGGCAAGACCACGTTGAATGTTGAATGTTTCATTACTCAGCGCCAGCGCTTGGCGGTGTTCCACCTTGTTTTATTCAATCCACCGGGCATTTTAAAAATATTGACTATTATGAATTGACAAGGCCCGGGGCAACCACTCGCCATCGTCCAAATCGCAGCATCGGCTTCATCACGAGTGTCATGGTACAGGCAACCGTGACCCTGTTGGACCAAGAGAACTTGTCAAAACGAACCAATTGATGTCTACGGGGAATGTTTCACGGACAAATATTATTCACAACGTCGGCAGCCGGTAGTCGGGAAGTGCGCAAAGCCGACAAGACTCGCTGTGTGGAAAAGAATCGACGACGAAAAAGCGGCGTCTATTCTAAAGCATGACTCGTCCACTTTGCTCGGGAACATGACTGCTAGTCCCCTTGTGTCTGTGTTAACGTCTCGCAAGATGCTGCCTTGATCATCGTCGGTGCAGTCTCTTCCTTCTCTCGTCCCATTTACGGAAGCAGAGGCACCCTATTTCCAAGCAAACAGTCTGTTCGAATCATGCCATTTGCCACCTGCGTCTGTTGGGGATAGGGCCTCACTCAGGTTCTGCCTCCGGTTCAGCCTTTGCGAGCCACACCTCGTTCAACCTGGGGAAAAAAGCAGGCTCTGTATGTCTCTCGCGTACCTATTACATCGTTCGTCTACACGGCTTCAACTGTATCCACAATCGTCGCCCATGGTGTATATGTGGCGTTTCGTCAAATACCTCATCGAGACCTCTTGGAGCAATGAGATATTCCGCTCCAATGGCACAGATCCGACCAGTAATTGAAATCACCTCGACATGCCATGTCATGCTCGTCGACTGATGGGGAAATTGGCCCCCAAGGATAAAACTTGGCCGAGCCAAAAGGTCCCGTCAGCGGCAAGCATCTGAAGCTCACTAGGAGTTGTCTGGCTGAAAATGCAAACACTGACATGGCCACGCAGCATAGAATTCGTTCCGATGCATTCCATGCTGGACGACATGCAGCTTACCCCGCCTCGGCCGCCAACCATGGCTTTGGATCATGGTGGCATCGAGTGCCCTTTTTGTCCTCGTATGATGAAGCTTGATGCTAAGCTTTTCGTATCGACTCCTGGTCCATGCATACATACACAGCTGACAAAATGTCCGACTACCCAGTTGTCAAGTTCTGTGTAGGGCGCTGAGCATGTATAACTGATATTGGCTAGGATTGTCTCGTATGATGTGGTGAGCCGTCGGCATGATCTAGGCAAAAGCAGGGTCGCACGAGGCGACTCATGGTCAAGCATTTGCGAGTTGCTTATTCCGCCCCAAAGGCTTGGAGACTCAGCCTAGACGCCCGGTCTATCTCTGAGTTATGCGCAGCATCCAAATGTTTGGCTATTCTATGTACCCTGGGTCAAGGGATGGTCCTCTACATGACCGGCGCTCTTTTCGGCCCATAGACAGAAAATGACGAGGTGCTTGATTTTGATCTTGCCACATCTTTTTTCTATCTTGTCTTTGTTGGCTCTGTTTTTATATATTGGTCCCATCAGACCCATCCCAAACTATTTTAGACACCAAGCCTTCAGGCCCAGAAAAGACCAGGATCCTCCAGTACGGTTATTATAATTTACTTGGCGGGGCGACAAGCACACTGTCAAACCAGTTTATACACACGACTGACTACGACAATGGCACGCTTACAATCCGGAGCCGCTTTCTGCCTCGCTCTCTGGTGGTCCTCTGGCGTACAAGCTACCCAAATCCACAACAATCCAGTTGCCTGCGCTGTAAGTCTCGGTCCACCTCAATGCTGTGAATTGGCGCTGGACATGCAGAGCGATTTCTAGTCAGGTTGCTAACCAGCCGCCTCTGGGACCAGGTCGGCTGCCTCAACGAGTTCAAGGGCGAGTTCACAAGCCAGCACCAAGACCCGTACGTCGGAGGCTGTATGGGTCCCTTCCCAAACGACATTGCGTGCTGCATCCTCAAGACATGTCCCGAGGACCAGTGGCCGATGTTTTGCGGCAAGGATAATTACATGAATGTTCCGGACAAGCAGAAGTGTTTTGCTTAGCGTTCTGCACACGTGGCAACAGCAAACACCCAGATCTTGCTCTGCTAATGGAGGCAACTGGGAGCCCAAAGAAGACAAGAAGACTAGACTGTATTTAAGTTTGGACTGGAGGGTTAGAAGTTGCCTACGTCGTGGTTAGTACCTCGTCGTTGATGGGCGACTCAACAGCAACGCGGCCAATGACGTCAAAGAGGTTTCAATGTCTGGGAGGAGGAATCCTGGATTTTATTTCTACCGCGTACCGAGTAATAAAATTACCTAGGTAAATTTGCCCAAATCTGAGATCGTGTTGCCCTGCCAGAGCATCCGAGACCCGCACAGCAAATCACCGGCTCCCATGCGCTCGTCCATGATCCACTTTCGCGCAGCTCCCAGGAAATTTCCATTTGCATTTCCAACTCCAACTCCAACTCCGACTCCGTCCCCATGAGAGCTCGACCTTGACCTTGGCCTCCTCCTCGTCTCTCTGCATCCACGCCCATCCGCAGCGACCGTGATTTGTGCGCCCTCATCAATTCCTCTCCTGTCCGCCATTGGTCTTTGTCATTAAACACCCGCTTCCAGCCATGGCTCCTCTCATCCTCCACAATGTCCCCGACGAGGAGTGCTACGTCGGCGACGACGGCATCAAGCGGCCCTACGCCATGTACTTCAACCAGTTCGTGCTCGCCATGACCTCATGTCGTCAGATCCCTCCCTTGTACTGACTCCATCTCCAAAGGAATGACGCGCACACCGGCACCTCTAGATCACGGCGCAGCGTCGCAGAAACCGGTTCGTTTGGCAAATCCACCCGGCGGTCTCGATCACGAACTGGCACGCCAGCTCGAAGTCGCGAGAACCCGACCCTCGCTGCCGCAGACAAGCTTTTCGGCGACTGGGTATCCAACCAAGCCGCCGTCGCTGCGCCATCCAATAACCAGCGCAAGAGCAGCGGTCTGATGCAGGACGATGCCCCTCCGCAGCGCGTCGTCAAGTCCATTCCGGTCGAGGTCATTCTTCGCGGTTACCGTTCGTCAGTCCAGCAATACGCCGCCATTTCCCACTATGAGGAACTCGCCGGCGCCATCCTAGAAGACTACCCTCGAGACCCTCCCGCCTCCCAAAGGCGATACAAGTCCGAACTGCGCGACCCAGCCTTGACACGCCGGCGAAAGCTCAGCCCCGAAGAGCGCGCTCTCGTCAACCGTGCCGATGGCGGCGAACACTGGGTCAAGGTCACATTCGAGAGCACCGAGGCTGCCAACGACGCCATCTACGCCAGTCCCCAGCGGATTCTGGGCTACCTCGTCTTTGCCGAGCAGTACAGAGGCATCCCGCCCGCCAAGGATGAGGCGTGCCCGGATGTCGACAGCATCATGGACAGCGAGTTTGAGCGAGCCCAAAGCATGCCCGCCACCATGGGCACGCCCCGTCGAAAGAGCACCAACAACAACAGCCTGCCTCCGATGCTGCACAGCCGACTGATAGACATGTCGCCGTCGGAATCAAAATCGTCAAGCCAAACCCTCGACACGGCCACGCTGACGCCGTCGCACACGTCCTCGGCCACCATGCAGGAAGCACCCGGCGTGAGCTCAGGCGTGGAACCCATGGAGCTGCAAGAAGAAGACGGCATATTTTGCCGCCGCATCCCCACCGCCCGTCGAGCCCGCCTGCTCCCCGCCGAACAGGCTCTTCTGCCGCAGCAGTCCGTCATGCAGCGCTTCGTCAATGCCGTCCCGTTTATCAAGTGGTTCAGCGGCAGCATGATTGGCAACGAGGTGCCGCGAACGGAAACAGGCGAGTTCGACTGGGGGCGCGCCAGTCTGTACTGGAAGATTATCTGGTGGCTAGATGCCACATTTGGCCTGTTCAGGGGCGACGTCTACAGCGTTGACAAGGACGACTAGAAGCTTCCTTTTGGTCAGCCGTGGCAGTAAATAGCTTTGCATCAGGCGGCAACTGCGTTTACGAGTTTCTTTTTTTTTTTTACGAAAAGGCCGCCAGAGTTGGCGGTATTCAATTGCATCATTGTCGGCGTTGATGGCGCAGGACCAATCTATCATGGGGGAGGGGGCAATAAAGTTGCTCATAAAATGCTATACCAGCGACTTGTATTTCTAGGACAAGCGAATAAAGTCCACCTTTGCAAAACGCCGCGCACCGTCGGAACCACGTATCCATCCATCCTGCCGGGGACTTGGGCGCAACTGCTGCATCTCCATTGTTGTCAATTACGGCCCGGTGTCCCTCTTCCTGTCAGGCTAACCATGCCGCTACATGCAAGACCAATACCGCTCGGTGATGGGCAAGTGAAGTGAAGTGAAACAATTTGTAATGGTAGTCGTACAGCCCGGAAACCCATAAAGGAAAAAAAACGCTCACGAATCCTCCCACGTGTCTGCCGCAGTCTCCTCCTCCTCCTCTTGGCTGGGGTGCCTCTCCCTTGTCAAGTCTGAACTCGACCTCGTGCGTCCCCTGGTCGCGTCGTCGTCGTCGTGCTCGCCCCTCTGCTCGTCGGGCTGCCGCTCATGCTCGCCGTCCCTGGGCGCGTCCGCGGGCGGCTCCTCCACGGCGCCGAGCGACTCAAACGTCACGTCGGCGGGGACCCGGCGTATCGGCTGCGGCGAGAAGGGCCTCGCGCCGCGCGGTCGGTTAAAATCGGCGGAAAACACGCTGTCCGCGTCTCCGGCGCCGGCCCCGACGCCGTTGTGCCTCTGGCTCTGCTCCGTGGCCAGCGCCGCGAGGGACTGGTACCGCTCCGACTCCATCAGCAGGCTGTCGCCCCTCCCGTGGGCCGGGCGCGCGGCGGCGTCGGACGCCGAGTCGGCCAGGATGCTCCTGGGCGGCAGGATGGAGAAGAGGGTGGCGGAGGCGTCTGCGGCCCCCGGGGCGGCGGCGTGGCCGCCCGCGTCCTCGGCGGCGAAGAGGTCGACGCCCTTGTCGAGCAGGTCGTCGAGGCCGCCGCCGGTCCAGCCCTTGCGCGCCAGGCTCTCGAAGATGTCGACCTCGGCGCGGACCAGGCTGCAGCTCGCGTCGACGATGCGGGCGCTCGTGTCCTGGCTCTCGCGGAGCAGGGCGCGGGCGTGGTCGGCGTGCAGGGTGGTCAGGCCGTCCAGCTTGCGCGTGAGGTCGACCAGGTGGGCGCGGAAGCGGGCGACGTCGCGGCGGCGCTGGCGGTGCAGCTTCAGGCCCTCCTTCTCCAGGCGCTTGACCTCTCTGCTCTGGGCCTTGATGCGGGCCTGGTACGTCTCCTCCTCGTCGTCGATGACGGTCTGCCACTTGTCCAGGTCGTGCAGGAGGGGCACCTCGAAGGAGCGGTAGACGGTCTCGGACAGGATCTGGTGGTGGTTGGCGATGAGGTGGTGCACGCCCGAGGCGGAGAGGAGCGTGTCGGCGGTGCAGGCGCCCTTGGCGGTGGTGAAGCTGGCCGTCATGGCGGCGCCGGCGGCGTGGTGGCCGATGGGCTCGGCGCGCGACTCCTTGAGGCGGGCGCAGGATTCGAGGGCCGCGGCAAAGGACGAGGCGGCCGTGGAGAGGGTCGCGAGGGCGAGGCGGTACGACTTGGCCGAGGCGACGAGGTCCGCGTAGGCGAGGTGGGAGGATTCGAGGTCTTGCTTGGTGAGGACGGCGTGCGAGGGCCGCGGCGCGGGCGGGAGCGGGAGGTTGAAGCTGGAGAGCGGGTTGGCCGTCGATGCGATGGAGTAGACGGGCGAGCCGGGCACGGGGGGGAGCTGGGACGGCGTCGGCGAGGGCGGACGCGAGGGGTTGGGGGAGGGCATCGCCGGTTGCGTCGTGTGCCTCGCGGCGTTGAGTTGGTGGTGGAGGTTTCAGCAAGGCGTCGGACGTGGGTGCGGTCGAGGTTGCGGGATGGAGAGCGGGTCGACTGTGGACAACGGCCCCCCCTGCGAGGACATGGGATCGAGGATGGGGGTTGAGGGTTGAGAGTTCGAGGTGAGCAGATGAGCTCTCGGTATAGGTTCAATGTTGTCCAACGACGAAGATTAAAAGTGCTTGCATGTCACGTTCATGTTGACAGGTGCCTGCGGGTCCCGAAGGTCCAGATGCAAGCGCCACATGACGGCTCCCTGCATGTGCTGGGTGTGGGACAGGGCAGACAGGGCACCTACACATTCCACGTGCATCAATTGATCCCGATTGTGCATTGTTCCGTGAGGTCTCACTCTAGCCCAAGACATTGTTTAGATGCCTCTTCCCATCTTATTCCGCGTCTTGCTTCATTTGATAGAAGCACGCAGTATTACTACCCCGTATGCACGATTAAAAACGGGGTGATGCGTTAATGTCTAGTCGCACGCGATAGCCTCCAGTACCATGTCCATAATCATAAAAACTCTATAAACTGCCCCAGGGTCCGCGACCGCTGCGGATGCCCCTCGCGCAGATCCCTTCAATTGCATGTAGATGCTCTCTGTCATGGCCGTATCAACCCCTTCGGTGGTATGCTCTGGGCTATAACCCGGCATAGTAGTAGTTGAGGCGGAGTCGTTACGGAACCGATCCGGAGCCTGTATCGTCAAGTGAGTGAGCTGTGTGCCGTCGAGTCAAGGCAAGGGTTTGTTGTGAATGTGTCACTGATATTGACGTGCCGTTTTGGCTCCACGGCCAGGGCCTCGGGCTCGGGCTCGGGCCACGACCCGGCGGACACGCGCCATGACCCGTCGGGTCAAACCTTTGGCCATTGTTGGGTCAAGTTCTTTACAGCGGGTTTGTCAAGTTTGGGTTCAATTTGACTGCTTGAGCCCATGTTAGTAAGTGACAGGTTACGGTGCTTTGAGGAGCTCTACAGCGGCAAGGACTGGCGAGTGATTTCGTTGGTTCGCCGCGTTAACTTGTTCACTTGTAATTATACAATGCTCAAGGATGGGCGGGAGGTGGTGATGGGAGACGGCAAGGCAAGGACTCGTGGAACGCCGACGAGCGTAGACCTTGATAATATATACTATGTGGTATTATTTATGGTTTTTAAAGCAAGTCACGATCAGGAATTATATTTTACTTGCACGTAATTAATAGCTGAGGCCATGACAAGATGACCTTGAATGGCGTGCCGCGATAAATCACGAATCATGTTAGTGTTGAACCAGACGTATTAAAACGTGTGTACTTGTACCGTATTCCGTGGTTTATTCCCGTTTTTTTGGGCGCAAGTATAATCAACATGTCATGTTACTGGTGTCATACGTGCAGGCTGCATGCACAATAATTTGGATCAAGTAAGAAAAAAAAAATTAAAAACTTTACAATACTCTAGATGCTCGCTTCAAACACAAATCGCTATGCTTCAGACCACCCTCCCGTCAAGCACCTGGCCCGCACTTCCACGAGCAAGCCCTGTGCAGAAACGGAACCGCCCGCTCGTCCTCAGCCAAACTCAAAGGCCGCACTGACACCGTGTTCCCGTAGACCTCCCGCGTGCTAATCTCGCGCCACTCTACCCACTCGAGAGGCGGCACGACAATCAACCTGCGGCAGTGGGAGCACGCAACGCCACCCATGTCCTTTTGCCTCGTTGCTCTCTCCAGCAGCTCGCGGAGGTGGGACAAGCCCTCGGGGATGAAGTGCTGAAGCTCGGACAGCTGCGAGGTGGAATAGCAGCTGCGGAGGGCAATCTCCACCAGTGACGGCACACAGCCTGCCTTAATGGGTTGGCCGAGACTGGTTGTTGTGCCGGTGTCGAGCTGATTTCCCGATGCCACGGCCAGTCTGTTTGATTCCTCGTAAGACGGGAACTTGAATCCCGACAAGATTTGTCCCATGGAGTCGGAAATCTGAAGAGGTGACCGGCCGAGATGCCGTGTTAGCAGGGGCTGCTCCGGCAGCTCGAGAGATTCGTCTCCCTCGGCGTGTAATTGGCCCTCGGGTTCGAAGAATGGGTTCGGATGCAGGACCAGGTCTGCCAAGTTCTTGCTAAAGAGGTCTAGAAGCTCGGCTGGGAGGGAGCGGAGGCGGTTCTGGGAAACATTGAGCTGTTGTAGATTCGGCAGCTTTGCTATCGCCGGCGGAATCTCGGTCAACTTGTTGCCTCGCAGGCTTAGAATCGTGAGGTGCTGAAGATCAAACAAGGTGCCCGGGATACTCCGCAGCCGGTTCATGGCCAGATAAATCTCGAGTTCTGGCTCCTTTTGCTCAAACGCAACATCCTTGGCCACCACGGGAATGCACGAAAAGTTCTCGAGGGGGGTCAATGTCTCCCTTGAGATGTCCTCCAATCCCATGGACCAGAGGTCAATAGTTTCATTTCCTTGCTCGAGACAAGACTGTATCTTTTCCCTGGCCAGCAGCTCCGCTCTGGACACGGCAGGAATCAGCGGCTGCGGTCGCTCACTTAATTGAGGCAGCTTGGATCGCAGAGGCATCTCCAAGACCTCAGAGGCCAGGTCATCCCCCTCGGTGCCATCGCTCCCCAGGTAGACACCGCTGTCAAACTGGCGTGCCAACTTGCGCTTTGGCTTGGGCAGAATCATATGCTCACTAAAGGTCGAGTCGGACGAGGTGGGCCGTTGTTGAAACCACGAGCCTACATATCGCTTCTTCTTGCGGCCTTCCACATAGTTGTCTAGGCCAGGGTCGTCGTCGCTGGAGAAAACAGCCGGGTCGCTGGAGTTGTAAAGACCCCCCGAGCGTGGGTGCCGGACACGCTTTCGGGGATTGTTGCTGAAGCTTTGAGAGCCCTCATCCCACGAGACTGCGGGGAGGCAGGGGAGAGTCGGCTCTTCTGCCATTGATAACGGGCAGTGCAGTAATTGAAGCAAGAAACACTATAGTCAAAGCGGCTGGGGGGAAGACAGTTCAATGGAAGGTATGAAGAAATGGAGAACGTGGTCGTGACCTCAATGGCTGGAGACGCGCCAGGAACGCGGTCATGAACAGACTTCGGAGCTCGGCATCAGATAACGGGGTCCAATCTGCTTGACTCCGTGGACCCACTTTGCCGAGGCCCCCGCCTCTGTATCCTGAAAGTCGCGTGCAGTCCCAAGACAGGCGGTGGGGCGCCCATCTAATGCAACTAACATAAACGTTGACAAAAGAAGGGACAAGTTGCCTATCTGTATGCGGACACCCCATGGTTGATTGGTTTCTTATTGTCTCATCACTCTATTCCGTACGATACGTTTCGCGCTCTGTCAATTCTTAAACCCCGACACCAGGCCATGTTGAAGATTTACAAGTCTGGTTCTAGGCGCCTTGGCCTAGGTGGCTCGAATTTCGTCAGAACTCTCTGTGCACGAATGGAATTTGGCCTCGTATCATGCATGAGATTGGTATTTCCTAGCATCCCTATCTTTTAGTCCCAGTCGTCGTCATCTTCATCATTGTTTCTTGATCGGCCCGCCGTGCCAGTCTTTATGCTCTTGCCGGCAAGTCGTTCTTCCTCTGCATCCTCGGCAGCTTGCCGTCTCTTTATAATGCGCATATCCGACTCTGAAACCGCGCCGACTTCCACAAGAAGATTATCTATATGGCGCATATTCGTTCGGACACCTCCAAGGGTCACTAGTGTTACTACCTGCTTAACAATTTCCCCGTTGTTGTAGACCAGAATCGTGGGGCAATTCCGGTCTGGGTAGTTCTCAATCGCTTGGTTTGCTCTGATTTCACAAAACTTGACGTCTCCATATTCGTTGGCAGCCTGTCTCCAGAGCTCTGACAGAACTCGCGATTCCACATTGGTCCCTGTACCCGACGTCAAATTGACGAATACAGGCCCCTTCTGGGATGCCTCTGTAACTTCGCGCTGGTAATCTGGCTTCGATATTGGATACACGCTGCCGTGGATGGACTTTTTTTGCAGGTTGTTGAGCTCTGCCATTCGTTTTTGGCGATATTGGTCCAGAAATTCATCGTCTTCGAAATCCTCTAGCTCGTCCAGCTCGTCGAGATCTTTACCCTCGAGCCGATTCTCATGCGCCAGTCTTCTCCCTTGGAGAATAGCCTCCTCGATCATGGGAGTAGGACTTGGTGGCTTTTCGGGAATGACTCCATGTTTTCGCAGGATGTCGTTCCTAAATGTGGTCAGAGCTCTGCTATGAGGGCCATTACCACCGCGGGGTACTGAGTAATTACCACTCTGTGTCTGCGTTGGGATCGTCAATAGGAACAGCGATCCGTTGATCACCAGGGGCCGCCATTATGTTGCTGGGCCACGGAGGTCGAGAACCAAGTAAATATTCAACGGTTCTTTACTGAGACATTGGTAGCAGAAGAGACGGTAACGCCTCGAGGCCCTTTTTTGCGGCAGCCTGGTGTAGAATGACGACGAGCTTCCTGGAAACGGCAAGCCTCAAAGACAGGCCGCCCCACAGCTCTCAGCCAGTAATGGCATAACTTGCACAAAGGAACTATCCAGGCTGCATAAAATCCCAGGTCCTGTGGGCCCTTCGTTGCAATTTTACGACGTGCCCAGCTTACGCCAATCAGAGCACCTAAAATTTTCGTCACGTGGTACTGGGCCAGAAAACCCTATCACGCTAATCCGTTTTGGAGCAATTTCTGAGCTAGAGGCAACCGAGATTCTCCCCCTCAAGTCCACCGAACTTTTCCTCGCTTAACACCTCTCACGCATCTTGCGAGCCTCAAATCTGCCGCCAGATTTCGTCAAGTATCCCGAACCTCGCAAGACCCCGACGGCAAATCTCATTCGAAACAATCAGTCAAGATGGTGAGCGGCGAATTCTTCCCCCCACGACCGGGAGTCGATGGAAATACGCCTCGAGAAGGGTGGCGAAAGAACACGGTTGTTGGACAAATCCTCATCACCGACAGGGGGAAGTGCTGTCGGCGGATGTCCAGGACTTGGTCTAGCACAGATGAAATTTGATGGAAAGCAAGTAGGCTAACGGGGATTGATGCAGGTTCTCGCTGTTGATCTTCTGAACCCTTCGCCGGCCGCCGAGGCCAAGAAGCACAAGCTCAAGGTACGATGAGAAAAAAATATATTAAAGCACCATCCCAATCCCCATCATGACGACGCTATGCACAATCACCAGCTACGAACCTGGATTCTAACAAGCTATTTTTTCCAGACCCTGGTGCCCGCGCCCCGATCTTTCTTCATGGACGTCAAGTGCCCCGGCTGCTTCACCATCACGACCGTCTTCTCACACGCCCAGACTGTCGTCATCTGCCAGGGATGCACCACCGTTCTGTGCCAGCCCACTGGTGGCAAGGCCAGATTAACCGAGGGCTGCTCTTTCCGAAGAAAGTAAACTGCTCGCTGGCGGTTTTCTTTCCTTGGGTACTCATGACTCTTACGGTTCATTCATGGTGATCACATCTCGGATCTGCAAAACAAAAGCAAACCAACTCTCGACAATGGGGCGCATAGACGAAACTGTCCTCTCTCACCTGTGCGAACAAAATAATCAACAACTCTCTTTTCTTTGCAGATAGAAGATGGAAACCACCCACGAACAGGGGCGTTTGGGGTCTCCGGATATCTTGCATGGCATGTCATTCATCACGTTTTTTTCCGTTACGCGCGCCTTGTACCAAAGAGTCGTCTTTGAACCAGGAATCAAAAAGCACTGCATTGGGGGTGGATAGCTGGAGAAGGGCTTTCCACGAGTGTCCAGGGTGGTCTGGATGTCCAACTGGATATGAGGACGTGGAACCGCTGGTTTGAGGATCGCTTCATACCCGAGTGCTCTGGATGGTGGAGGTTAGGCACTGTGCTTGCGAAAATTCAAATGGTTTCCACGAATTCTTGCCATGCTGTGATCCATGTGAATGTTGTTTGTAGACAGAAGAATTCTGTGTCTCGTGACTGATGAGGTGAGTCACACCGAAAGCTCGTGACTATCCTATGAATGGTTCTCCCATGTGAAAGCCCAGCGGAACAGACCTTGGAATAGTCATGACCTTGGACAGGGACGTCGTCGGCATATTTAAGCCACACCAGTGTTTGTAAAACCCGAACTGGGAAATTTCCCTGCCCAAGGCACTCTAACCCTTGTGATAAGACGACATGGCAGATGTATGAGGATCTCGGGAGAAATTCCAGAGAAGCTACCTAGGTTCCTGTAAGGATGAGGCCGTTTTCGTTTCACGCCCTGTAGCACCTTCTTTGGTTAGACTCTCGTTTACCGTCTCGTGTGTCTTCTGAGTCAAGAAAACAGGCGGACAGCCCAAAAAAAAGGGAGGCGCCGGGCGCTTTTGTCTTCAAATTACGGGACATGTTCAACACGGGTGCCATGGATATTGGTTCTTCATGGAGTTCATAGTTTGACTGGTTTAATACAGGCAGTAACACCTACTACAGATATTTTAAGCTTTTAGTCAAGCTTGTTCTGTTGAGCAGCAACAGCTACACGTGCCTGCCCGGCATCGGACTTGGCTACGCTTACACATCTCTTGCTAACCAGATGTGCTCAGGCAAAACATGCTTCGGGCCTTTCTAACTTCATGGTACCTCCTATGTTGTTTGGCATGTGTGGAGCTCACGGTGTTTGGGAGACAATAACCCCGGGGTTATAATTATAGATGGAATAGGCATGGGTTCATACGGCCGAAGCTCTCGGTCTAATAGTGGCCGACACATTCTATCCCAGAAGTGTTGGTCTGTGTGCGAATGTTGTACTTCATAGCTGTTGCTCTTGTCGAAGGGTTGTGTCATGCCACGTGTGTTTTACCGGCTGATAGGCCGCGAATATGGGTTACATCAGGGGAATAGGCAGAGTCAGCTCATCGAGACGCGCATCAAACCAACAAATCACCATGCCTGTAATGTTCTACAGAAGAGGTCCAATGCAAAAAAACACTACAAACAGCGCTTGCCACCCAGGCCGAAATTTCCTCCATTCTACGGAAGATGACCCTTCTTATCCCGGCTACCCTGCACATGATGAATGCGCCAATTGAACTCGACCAATCCCATCACATCAATTCCCCCGCACGAAGCCAATTGGGCAGAGAGAGCCACATTGCACGAAATGGTCGCGACTGCCACGCGCTGCAGTCTCCACTTTCGCTCGGACCAACAGGGGTCGTTTCAAGGGCAATTTTACTGTAGTGAGCGGCAGGTGCCTGGCTATTGCGCTCCATACTGTAACATACTATGGGTATGTTAGTATATACTTATCGGGTAAATATTCTGCCACAGAGCACTCACGCCAAGGTCAGGTCAGATATGGTCTCACCAACCTCCTACACTCCATTGCCATCTTCAACACCAACCTCTTCAGCAATTGGCCTTTGTCAATCGCCCACAGCTCGCTTAGTCCGATCCCTCCCCTGTCTTCTTTGTTACGCGAGCTGCAAGTCATTGACAAAACTCTCCACTCTACCGCGCTTTCTTCCCTTTTGCCCATTAATAAAACCCCCTGTGCCATTCGTTTTACTACGTACTTTGCTGTGGACCCGGCAACAAACCGCTTTGGCATCTTCACTGAAACACACTGCCGAGACAAACAGCAATACAAAGCATTTCAACCCACAAGGGGGGACTGAAAAAAAATCTCCGCCACCCGGAGTCAGATCGCATCATCCGTTACGAAACTCGTGACCTGCTCCTGTCGCAAGAAGCCCCTTGGCTCGCCCTCTCGCCATACTATAAAGACTCTCATTTCGCTAAACGGCCCCCCCTCCGACCTATCCCATCACCATGTCGACTCCACGAACCAAGCGGCAATTCGCAGGCTCTTCAGTAGACCCTTCGCAGCGCCAAATCACATCCTTCTTCGCAAGCAGGGCACCCGGCGACGCAGCCGGCGAACCGCAGCCGCAACCCCCCCGCCAGCCTCTGCTCCCAAGCAGCGTCCAGGCCAACCTGCTCAACGTGGGCATGCGCGTGCGCAAGTCCGTCCCTGAGGGATACAAGACCAGCGGCACAAGCGCGTTCAAGCTGTGGACGGACAACACCGTCCCGACAGCACCAGCCTCCCGGCCCGCGACGCAGACCACGCTGCGGGCCGCGTCCAAAGAACTCCTCCCCTTCTGCGGCATCAACAAGGTCGGCGGCCTCGATTCGCAGCCCGCGTTCGCCAGCGACTACTCCGACTCCGACTCCGACTCCTCCGTGCCCGAGGCCGACGACGTGCCGGAGCTGACCATGTCGCAAGAGAGCGTGGACAGCAACGCCCCCGAGCTGTCGTCGCGGAAGCGATGCTACAGCGACGACGAGCGGGCAGACTGCCCGACCCTGCTGGCGCTGCCGTCCAAGGGCTGGGACGACCAAGTCAGCCCGCGGAGCTTTGCGCCGTCGCAGTGGGGGGACTCGAGAGTCATGGCCGTCCCGAGGACCCGTGTGAAGAAGCGCCCGTCGCTCAAGCACGTCGGTCAGGAGAATGCGGCAGTGGACGGGGACTTTGGGGAGGCTGATTTTCTCGTTTTTGGCGACACGCGCGACATGGACTTGTCCTGAACAGTCGAGAATTTTTTTCTCCTTTGGTTTCCTTTCCCTGTCACGAGCACAACTACCAAGTTGTATTGCATCTTGTAGGAGGCAGCTGCGGCTTTGTATTCAAGTACAGGAGTTTAGGGCGCATTTAACGGGATGGCAGAAAATGCCCAGTTGGGCCATCATGCCGAATTTGCATGTATTTTTACATTACACGTCTCGACTATCGAGACTTTGCCACGGTGGCTAAAGGCATACTTGGCATAGAAAGCCTGACACATCAAGCTACATACCTACAAACGGCTCCCGAAACTCGAGCAAATCCCGCTGTCCGTAGAATTCCCCCGCAACAGTCAATATCATGTTCAGCGTCGCGCGCATGTTCATGCGTAGTCGCAGCGTAGCGTCGTCTTCCTGGGTATCAAGTTCCTGCTCTGCCCCCGACGCACCCAGGCGTGACAGTAACTCACGTTTGGCAGCTTCGAGACTTTCATCGACGGCGCCGCCCTGGTCGCTGTCCGAGTCCGAGCCCAAGTCCATGGCTACGTCCCCGGTCTCAGACTCCTGGATCTCACCCTCTTCGTCTTCGTCTCTCCTGCCCGTCGCATTGCCTTCGAGAGTCGAGTCTGCCCCTGGATCCCCTTTATCTGCCTCGTCCCTGGCGACGCTTTCCTGGTTCGAGTCTTCCGCGGGGCTGTCGTTCTCACCCGGGCTGTCTACGCCCTCTGCATCGTCGTCATCAGTTCCCACCACATCCTCATCGCTACTACTCGCATCAACGCCCTCGTTCACGCCCAGCCCTCCGTCTGCGAGTTCATCCCGCAGTGCTGCCATCTCGGCCAAACTCCTGCTGAGGAGGACTGCGCGCCTACCAAGGTCCCGCACCCAGCCTATCTCGGTGTGGTTGAGTTCCCCTCGATCTGGTAGTCGTGCAAGCAGCCCCCAGAGCCACTGGCTCGTTCGTTCAGATAGAGTGTGACCCCTTCGTAAGAATGTGCCACCTATAAGTACGCGTAGGATGCGGATTACGGTTTCTTTGGACATGAGCGCCAGCTGCAGCGGGTGAGGGTCAGTGTTGCGCATGATATTTGCCCATGTTTTGTTGGTGGTGGAATCGCGGCCAAATGGTGCGGCGAAGGTCTCTTTTGTCGAGGATAGTCTCTTGGCGGCGTCCGGGGGTGGAGTTGTGTGTAGAAGCTGGTGAAGATGGGTATATCGGGCCATTACCGAGGAGAAGTATGCTTCGTGAAGCTCTCTTTCATCATCGCCACAGCTGTGGGCCGCTTGGCCAGCTTTCTCGTCTTCGTCGTCGTGTTGTGGCATTGCAATGTACGCTCCGTCGTCGTAGTATCCTCTGGGATCATCGACTGCCCCGGTAGTATATATGGTTCGATCGACGTGGCCTTGATCGTCTTGTTGTAGCTCGGGTGGGAACTGAGGTCCAATTTGAACTTTTGGCGCGACGAGCAAATGCGGAATATCGTACGCCTCTTTTCTGTAATACTCACCGTATCAGCATCATCTAAATGATTAGAATACAAAAAACACATTCAGCAAACACACGTTTCCGATAGACAAGCATAGGATATGTAGGGTCGTTTATGAGCATACCTGACAGACAAGAGATAGGCCATGGCATCAGCGTCGTCCTCAAAGTCCGACTCCTCGCCGTAGGGGATGGTTGTCGCATCTTGTAGACTTGAAAAGACATATTTTTGCCCCCATGTTGGATCTATGGACGAGTTTTGGTGTTGGTGTCGGGGCATGGCGCCGGTTTGTTTCTTTGCCCGTTTGGGGTCGGGCTCAGAGACTTCCCCTTCGTCGACATCCGACAGCTCGCGTTTGGAGGACATGCTGCCGCGGGGCAATGCAGCACCCTTTGATATGGGGGCTATGACGGTGAGCTGCTTATTGACTGCATAGAAAAAGAATACAAGGTAGAGATGGTGGCGGGGGTTGTGTTGGCGCAAAAGTTGGCGGAGTCGAGGTTGAGTGTCGGTGATGTCGTTAAAAAATGTCAACTGCACATGGTTGAAGCTGTCAACTGTGGTCCCGACCTTAGTTGATGCAGGTCCCTGGACATTGGACCTGTGGACCGACTGGCTGCCTGGGGCTGGTCAAATACTGCTCGGCCAGCGCCTGATTTCCCGCCCGTACCAACCGCTAGCTGACTAGCCGCACGCCAAGAATCGACGTTGCATGTGAGTAAACCGCCGAACAGCTACTCCGTACATAGAGCTCGACTTTTTGGACCCCGACACTCAGTGATTGGTTTCAGGCAGTCTTCCCAACCGTCACCATATTGATGGTCTTGCGAATCCAATCATGAGGCCAGCTTGCGTGCGCTGCTCGGCTCTTCATCCGCACATACACGTACGAGCACCAAGGACGCCTCTGCGCTCCCGCAGAGCTGCCCCCGCTGCGTGCCTCGATCCATCATGGCAGTCCATGCCGCAGTGTCGCTCCCAGAGCACAAGCTGCAATCACTTTGTGGACAGTGGTATGTGCTTGAACAGCATGGAGACCCGTCATATGCTCGTGTCCAGTGCTAATTTGACCCGTCAATATAACAGAAAGAATACACCCAGCCTCTCCTCCGCCGCAGCTGCTCCCTTCTGCGAAGCCCTTCAGGCTCGCCGTCAAGGACAACATTGCAACGGCCGAGTTCCCGACACAATGCGCCTCTCGCATCCTCCGCGGCCACAAATCACCTTACGAAGCTACAATCGTCACTCAGCTGCGTGCGCGGGGCGGCATCGTCGTGGGAAAGACTAACATGGACGAGTTCGGCATGGGCTCCCACGCGACAAACTCCATGCATGGCGCCGTGAGCAACCACCTTTCTGCGGATGAGCCAATCTCTGCGGGGGGCAGCTCTGGGGGCAGTGCCGTTGCTGTCATGCTTGGGGAAGCGGATATCGCCCTGGGAACCGATACGGGCGGTTCAATCCGTCTGCCTGCGTCGTACACGGGAGCTGTAGGCTACCGCCCGAGCTACGGCATGATTTCGCGCTACGGCGTGTTTCCCTACGCCAACTCACTGGACACTGTGGGAATGCTGGCCAGAGAGGTGAAGCCAATTCTCCATCTTCTAGTGGAAACCAAGCTGGACGAGGAGCACGACCCCAACGACCCGACGTCATTATCTCCAGCCTCGAGGCGACGATGCGCCAAAGCATGCCCGCCGCTTCTGGAAGACATGTCCAAGCTCACTGTTGGCATTCCCCTGGAATACAACGTTGCCGAGCTGGACCCCCTTGTGCGACAGGCTTGGGTGGAAGCTGCCACAGCGCTGGAGTCGGCCGGCGTGAACATCGTGCCGGTGTCTCTGCCGTCAACCAAGGAAGCATTATGCGTGTACTACGTCCTTGCCCCCGCCGAGGCATCCTCCAACCTCGCCAAGTACGACGGCGTTCGATACGGCGCGCGAGGGGAGCACGGAGACGCCGGGGGCGACACGTTGTACTCGGAAACACGGGGAGCCGGCTTCGGCCCCGAGGTCAGGCGTCGCATCTTGCTGGGCACCTACAGCCTCAGCTCTGAAGCAATGGACAATTACTTTGTCCAGGCGCAAAAGGTCCGCCGGCTGATCCGGCAGGACTTTGACAAGGTGTTCAAACGGGACAACCCGCTCCATGAAGCGGCGCAGTTTGACCTCAGCGACATGGATGCCGAGACGGCTCTGCAGGACAAGCAGGGTCCTCCGCAGGTAGACTTCCTGCTGTCGCCGACTGCGACGTCATTCGCACCGACGCTGAATGACGTGCTTACAAAGAGCAGTTTGGAGGCGTACATGGGGGATGTCTTCACCGTGCCCGCGAGTCTGGCTGGCCTACCTGCCGTCAGCGTGCCGTCGGGGAGGCTCGGGGAGGGCCGGTTGCCGTTGGGACTCCAGTTGATTGGGCAGTATTGGGATGATAAGCGGGTGTTGGCCATGGCGGAGAGATTAAAGGCGCTGGCGGCATAGATGGTTGTCTTTTTTTTGTTTTGCATCACGGATGGCAGAATGAGTTGGCGTCCAAGCATTTGCAGTTCAGTATATTAATACACAAGGGTATCATGGTGCGCTGCCAACGCAGGTCAGCAGAAAACATCAAACGCGCACCACGGACCAAAGGCAGAGTGGCTGCCTCCCACTATCCCTTCTAGTTGGCTAAGAACAGGCCATCTGCGTTTTGTTGTATCCCGGCGTTGCGCATCTGCGCAATATATCCCCAGTCTTGACACTGATTGACCCTGTGAGCGCCCATGTGAGCCGTCTAGCAGCCAGCAAGATGCCGTTTTCTCTGTAGTGATACGTCATCGCCTTGGTCGCGAAGAGAACCTCGCCATCGCGGTAGTCGGGCACACCATGACTGCTTTGAAAACCCGACTTGGCAAGACCGTTCACACGGCTACAGGAAGACTGTCGCATCCGTCTTGTTTGTACAATCCCCCATCAACATGAGCTCAAGGCGACCTCGACCCAGACCTACTCAACCCCCCTTCCTCCCTGTCCACATCCATATCGCCTCCAACCTCGCCCTCCTCAGCGTCCTCATCCCGTGGCCCCTCCTCGCCCTCGCCCTCGCCCTCGTCCTCCTCGTCCAGAATATCCTCCAAGTCGCCCAGCGGACTAACCCTGGGCTCCAGCTCGTCCAGGTCCTCGAGCACCTCCCGCGGCGGCATCTTCCACAAGCTCGTCGCGCAGACCCTCTCGCGGGTCAGCAGACCATCAACAAACTCGTCCACGTAGGTCAGCGCCGCGCCGCGCCTCCCCCGCGTGCGCAGCTTGCGCCGGTCCCCGAGGAAGGGCTCCAGCGCGCGGTGCACGTCGGCCGCCCTCCGCGTCAGGCGGTAGTAGAAGCAGGCCAGGGCGCGCAGGTACTTGAAGTGCTCGCCGCCGTAGGACAGGTACTCGCGCACCACGGCCTCGGAGGGCCCCAGCTCGAGGAGCTTGAAGGCCAGGCACAGGAAGGGGCTGGGCTTCTGGGCGTCGCCGTGCGTGCCGCCCACGAAGCGGACGTGCTCGACGACGCGGTCGACGATGTCGGCCTCGTTGAGGGCGAAGCACTGCTCCTTGTAGAAGTAGGACTCGACGATGCGGTCCTTGACGGCCTTTTCCATTATGGTCGCCGGGTTGAGGCCGTTGGGGGCCAGGGCCGCCGTCGACCCGCGCTCGTCGAGGAACCGGCGCGCGTCGGCCTGGACCGTGTCGCTTTGAGGCATGGCGGCGCGTGAGGGCGGCTTTTGGCAGAGTTGTGCAAGTGTGCGACGAGGCGGGGGTGGTTAACACACGGATTGGTGCGATAAGATAGTTGCCGTGCCAACGGCGGAGTGAAGGTGCATTAACACCTTGGGAGGCGACATGCCGGCTGGCAAAACTACGCTTCGCACATGAACAGAAGAAGAGTTGAAGGGAAAGAAAAAAAAAGAACCGATCGCCGGTATTTTACTTCTACTCTCCAAGTATACGATTGATTGAACTGGGTCGATAGTCGACATGCGCAAGGCGCTCCTCTCTTCGTCCGAGGTATCGGCCCTCGTGTCCATCATCGTCGGTACGGGCAAAATTCCAGACACCCTGGCGCGCATTCCAAGGGCTCAGAGTTGAAATTGGCATTTCTAACGGGGACGCAGTTATCCTATTCACGCTCGCCCTCTTCCTCAGCGGCTACACCCTCCAGCAGCGCACGCTGCAGGACCTCCGGGTGGCCATTCGACCGGGACACACGAAGCCGTCGCCCAAGGCGCACCTGCCAGACTACTTTACGCGGGAGACGGTGCGGCTGCAGGACGGGACGGTGGTGGTGCGGGAGAGCCTGGCGGACAAGGACGAGAAGGCGCGCATAGCTAAGAAGTATGAGCTCCGCGAGGACGAGGCCAAGGGCAAGACGAAGACGAGGCGGAAGCAGAAGCAGAAGCAGAGGCAGGGGGATGACGTGAGACTGGCGCCGGAGCAGCGAGAACATGACGGCGAGGCGCAGGGCGTGGGGGGGACGAAGAGGCAGGCGACGGAGGAGCAGTTGGCGATGCTGGAGACGATCAAGGAGCGGGCTGCTGGGCAGGCCTGGGGGGTGGACCATCCTGATCCGCTGGCCAAGAATCCTCTTCCCGTCACGAGGGCGGAGCGTAGGAAGCTCATTAAGGATGAGATTCAGAGGCTGGCGCAGGCGGATAAGCCGGTGTATTATCAGCGGCGGCTGTGGTGATGGTGGGAGTGTTGGGGGTAGGATGGTTTCGTCTGTGTGCTGACCAGATTGTCAGGGTACGCCGTCATGTGTAAATGGAATGAGTATGATTTGTATTGTAGAATGTAAAGAATGATGACCATCTTTGCTACTGTCCATCTTTTGTCGTACAAGGCATCAAGTTGGTGTACATACTTGACCCGGCTAGAGCCGACTCTTGACAGCCACTATGAGCCGGTGACGGAGGTTGTACAAGGTAATGCGGTCAATGGACGGCGTAGACCATGGAGTTTCTTCGACACGTCACAGCAGTGCTTTCCGCCCTGGCTGCGAGGCTGGCGGTCAATTGGCAACTATGTACTTGTATACATACATAGTTGCAGCCAAGACAATACGAGTTGATGGCGAGCCGTGTTGTCTTGGCACGAGACGCCATGGGTGTCCGCTTACGATTCTGGCTCTCGTCGGAAGAAAGGCGACGTGGCTTCGGAGCTGACGGCTACACAAGGTGCGCTTCTAAGACTTCCAAGTGTGTCTCATGGCGGTGGTGATGCCTCTCCATCTCCTCAAGTTGCTACTGCTAGGCGACGTTCCCGCAAAGGTGCGGCACGTTGTATCGCGCGTGCTATGCATGCATTCTCTGCCCGAAAATGAAACATGGTATACGGAGTATAAATAAAACCAAGGAAAATAAAACAAAACAATAATGGAGCAAATTCCAGCACAGCCCACAGCCCCAACCTTGTCCGGGACGGACCACGGCCTCGACTCTCGCAAAACACGGCTCTCGGTAGCCCAAAATACCAGTTGGACCACGTGTGCAGCCCGTCAACGGTCTCAAGTCAGCTGCCATCAGGCCACTTGCAACAAGGCCAATTCAACTCCACACAAAGCGCCTGCTTGCTTGCATGCACGCGCCCAGCGAGACGGAAACAGAATGAGGGACTCAGCCTTACGGCCGGGACGCGTCCAGATGAAGCAGCCCCTGCCGACGGGCGCCGCTTGCCCACCGCCCGGCCAATCAGGGGCCTGCGCGCCGCCAAGCACACGCCAGGTCTGGCCCCCAAACAGCTTGCCACGTTTTTTTTTAGGAAACATGGCCCCGTCGCAAAAAAAAAAAAAAAAAAGAGAGAGGGAGAGAGACAGACTATCGGCGTCTTGCGTCTCAGCCTTTTGCAGAAACTGGCCGTGTATCCCGGTCCCGTCCCGGCGGTCTGGAATCCAATCGTGGCGCCGGGACGTTTTAAGCCAAGGCCACAAAAAAAAAATTATGAATTGATGACATCGACGCAGCGGCACCCTGCTGAAGCCGGCATTTCCGTAGCCCCGCGGATAAATTGGCGCTGGGCCAATTTCCAAGGGTCCGCCTCGGCCTAGTGCCCAGCTGGAGGTGACGTGGTGGAATGGACCGGACACGCTGGTCTGGTGCATGCCGTCCCTGCCAAGAGCGATTGCGAGCCGTGGGAGCCGTGGGCGCCGGAAAAGATTGTACGAAGGAAGGTGGGCCGCAGGCGCGAGGCAGAGATTCTCGGAAATCATGTGCCGTCGGGGAATACGAGTCAAGTGTCCAAGTTTTTGACCGGGGGGAACGGACACTTTTGGTTTCAAGACTGAAGTTTTTTTTCTTGCCAAACGAATTCATCATGGGTAATTTGAGGAATGTTCGGCATTGGATTCCATACAGGGGGGGAAGAGTCTGAAAACGGCCATGGCGGCCGGGATGTAGCAAGTTGCGAGAAGAGGCCTGTCTTGTCTGATTCATGTCCGGGGCGAGGATGCGTGAGGAATCATTGGTGGGCCTGGAGCTAGCAGGGCGCGCTGCCAAGACGTAAAACAATTAGAGAGAGAGAAAAAAAATGAGTGCCCGAGCGTTTCGTTTTCTCGATGCCGGGGCCCCGGGATGGCGTTGAGTCAGGGACCGTGAAGAAGGGCCAAGTCGGCAAATGCTGGAATCGTCCGTGGGTGTGGGTAAGAGGCAGCAGTGCGGTAAGTGTACTCGGTAGTACAGATATGGTCATATGGATACATGGTATAAAATGGAGGCACCAGTGACGGACACGCTCACCAAGACAAGGTGTAGGATCATTGATGCCAGTCATTCATGGGTGTGAGGCGATGGAACAGACAGACAGCATGTCACGATGAAAAATAGAACATGACGCACATGCACAAGTAAGCACAGCGGACGCAGTTCATTGATACAAACACAAAAGAAAGGCAATGGAGACAACCAAGTGTAGCATAGTGTCATGACTCATCAGTACCATGACAATAAACGTCACCAACTAGACACATTTATAAACAAGTCAAGCAAGTGTAGCAAGTGTAGCAAGCATCATCACCATCACATCACAAAAGTCAAAGCCAGATTCATAAGAGTGGTATATGCCCAAAGGGCGGCATTAGAAATATATAACCAAGGATAAAAATAAAAGTAAAACCAAGTTATAAGCCCCCACCCGTGGTATCCCTTCCAGAGCGCCATGCTAAAAACCCAAAGAAAACGCAGCCATGCTCGCATAGTCAAACATCCAAATGATAGGCGGATGAAAAGACAAAGAAGAAAAAGGTCATGCAGCCAGCGCATGCACTAGTTACAAGTCGGCCACCGTCTCGGCCTCGCCCTCTCCCTCTCCCTCAGTCTCGTTAAACACCACGCCGCGCCGCTTCCAGCCACTCCGCTTCATCAGGTCCTCGAGGCTATCGAGCGACCGCATAGGCGGCCTCTTGGGCGTGGACACGCTGCGCTTGTGGCTAAAGTTGGGCACGTCCAGCGGCACGGGGGCGTCGGAGCCCGGCGTCTCGTCGAGGTCGAGGTCGTCCACCGACGAGAGGTCCCGGTCCAGGTCCAGGTCCAGCGTCTGGATGGTCGAGTCGGACCAGCGCGAGCGCGGCATAGGCGGCCGCCGCGAGGCCAGCTGCAGCGTAAAGTAGTCCTGGGCGTCACCGAAGACGGGAGCATCGTCGTGCTCCGGGGGCGGCGAGGGCGGCAGCAGCGTCGTCTCGGTGGTGTGCGAGAAGTGCAGTGCCTGTGCCTTGCCGACGACGGTGTAGTCGCCGCCGTCAAAGTCCTCGTCGTCGGTAGAGTCGTCGAAAAAGGTCGAGGCCGGCGCGTGGGCGCACCGCTCGGGGCTGATGAGCGGCCGGTCGTGCAGCCGCGGCGGCGGGTGGAAGGTTGGGTGCGCGCTGAGGGGGCCGAAGCCCGGCGATGTGCTGCCCGTCGTGGGCGTTCTGGCTGACGAGAGCGCGCGTGCCGTCGAGGCCGACGACGTGGAGCATGTGGAGGATGTGGACGGCGACGAGGACAGCGAGCTGCCGGAGAAGGAGACCTTGCGGATGTGCAGGTCCTTGGGCTTGTGTGTCTTTCGCCGCTGGCTGAAGCTGTGGCCGATGTTGCCGAGGACGTGCATGTTGGGCCAGTCGGGGGTGTGTGGTAGAATGATGTCGTCGGTGTTGCGAGGTTGTGTGTGCTTGTAGAGTCAAGTATACACGTCAATAGTCTGGTGGTTGATTTCCGTCGGGGTATTGCTGGCACAGCCGACGGGGAGATGATCAGATGGCTCGTCTGAGCAGACGTGGTGAGACGTAGGTCCAAGTATATGTATAAGATATGTTTATGTTTGCGTGCCAACGTCCGGGCTGGGCGTTGCTCCGGACCATCAATGTCAACATGTATGTATGACGCCTGGTCCTGGCAGAGGAGGGATGGCACGATGCGGCCGGTGGGAAGGGCATTCAATATGTACCAAGTAGGATACGGAGAGCTGGCCGTGAGGTGTCTGGTGCTGCTGCAGGTACGTACATACGTCAACGCACAAAGTACGTCAACACGGCGGGGGGGTGGGGGCGTGAGGCGACAGGGATGTTGCGAAAACGGGACCTGATGGGGGCCCCCCCTGGCGGACCTGATGACTGTGACCGCGCACCCATGTACCCAAGACAGACCCCTGTCGAGCTCGTCGCCCACCACTGATACCACTGATGGCTCATCGCAGGCCGCGGCTCCGCCACCAGCACGCCAGCGACGCCAGCGACGCCTCGTCCGCACTAGCACAAGTTGCTCACGCAAAGGGCGACGACATGGCCGACGCCGTCACGGCCAAGTGCGCCGGTGAGACACGACAGCCCGCTCAACATGACAGCTTCACCACATGCATCGGGATTCACGATTGCACGGAGTGCTCCAAACATACAGAGACATGTGGACGGAGCAGTCGGCGAGAGGCGTCCCAAGTCGTGGTCCAGAGCCCAGCTGCCAAGGCCCAGCAGCAACAGGACGTCAGGTTTACAACACGACACTCCAGGCCGTACGTAGGAGTCGGTACAATTCACAATTTCAATCTTATCTCTTGTTTCGTCCGTCATCCCTCCATCATCAGCCCATGCCCTGTTCCAGACACAGCAGCGCTCGTCATCAAGCTCAGCCTTTGTCAGCCGCCAGCTATTCCCAACCAAAAGGCAGCCATCTCATCATGGACCGAAAATCGCACAAATCACCACGCCCACGGCATGCCCCAAATGGCCCGTGAACGAGCTGCCCCCCTGTCCCATTGAGGTCATCCGCCTCGTATGATGGTCGCGCTCCCACCAACGACAGCCGCCGGCGACCACCCAGGCCCTGCTGCGCTGACGGGGCCCGCCGTAACGGAGGGAAAAGAAAGAAAATAAGTTGGATAAAATAAAATCAAGTAGATGAAATAAAATAAAATTACCAGGCTCGATTGCATCCTGTCTCTGGCGGTCTCCAGCGGTCCCAGCTACCGAGGACGGTGTTGGACCACCCCGGTCGGGACGATGCTCGCTTGAACCCTGTTCGGATCTGAAGCTACCGCAGCCATCGCCATGTTTCGTTTCGGGGCGGAGCAGCACCAAATACGCAGGTAGTACAGATGCGTTTGTTTCCCAAGACCGTCGCAAGAGGACCCAGATTTTTTTTTGGGATTTTTTGATTTTTTAAATTGTAATTTATTTCCATTCAACGTCTGGTCTGGTCTGGATTCACAAGCTCTGGCCGTGGGTAGCATCGCGGCCCTGGGCGGAGCAGCTCTCGCTCTTTGACTTTCCGGACAAAGATACTCGGCGCGACAGATGGCCTCATCGGGCGATGGCACCGTGGAGCGGGGAAATCGTAAAAAGCCACATCTGGCCTATTTCCACCAATATGGTATGCTGCCCGGCTGCCCGGCGGCTGCCCGCGTCTTGTTTGCCTTGATGTCAAGTAAAGTGCCAAACTGAGCCTCATGAGTTTCGTAAAGAGCGTGCATTGCGTCAGAGACATGGGGGCGCGCAGTGAGTCGACGCATCCACTGGCGTAGTACAATATGCATGTCGTCGGTTTCTGTCTGTCCCATGTCGCAACATTTCATTTCGGGCGCGCCCCGCTTCTTCTTTTTTTCATCTCTGCGCTGACGCTGACCGCCTTGGGGAACATTGAAGGGAGGGAGGGATGGGGGCACGAACAAGGCCGGCCCGCAGATTGGGACTGTCGGGACTACGCCACTCGGCTCTGGCTGAGGGTGAAATGTGAGCGAGCGTGAGCGTGAGCGAGGAGGAGGGAGTGAATGGTGTGCGTCTGGTCTGGTCGCATCAGAGCCGGTGGGCTTTGTGGGCAGACGGATCCCGCGATTCGCTCCGGACGACATTGATAGAAAAGGGCCAATTGGTCCATGTGCGAGATGCGAGACAGGTCCCCGGTGGCACTTCACTTTTCTTTCAGCCAGCAACTCGTTGTGGCTGACGGTGCCTGAGCCTGGACCTCGATCGCCGTTCTGCCATGTCACGGATGGGTGACTCTGGTACCTGGTGCTAGTGCCGTCTCCAAGACACGCCGACGGTTCCTGTCTGGAGTACCGCCTGGCCTAGCGTCGAGACATGAGATGGGCTGAACTCTGCTTCATGACTGGAATGCACCATTGTCTGCGGAGTACGATGAGTCAGTTCAATGTTGGCAATTAACGCGGGTTTCGCGCTGCATCTACACATTGGATGCCAGCAACGACTTCGCCAGTCTAATGCAGGCACAACAAGCTAGGGGCACGACGCATCCCACGCACCTACCGTCAAGTACATAGTTGCTAGCTAGCTCTGCCAGACCGCTCTTCAACGTTGTATGTTGTCTGGAGCTTTGTCCACGCCCCTAGGTGCAATCAATATCATGGTCTGGTGTGTTTTTGTTTGTCCACCGTCACCGCGAATAGCGTCTGCCTGGAGGCGAACCTAATCTACGACCCCCGGACTTGTTCACCTTGCTTTTTTCTTTTTTTACTCTTGCTGGCTGCGCAACCCGCGCTTGGGGCTGAAATCAAAGACACGCAATTTCCCGCGACACCTCTCCAGCGCAGCAAGGGTTCTGTCGATGGATGGATGGATGCGCTGCGGGCCGCAGAGTGCCGCACTAGAGGGGTCGATGGGACACGATCAATGAGGCAGATGCTGCCAAGGAGGGGGGAGAGGAAGGCTGCGATGCGATGCGCGCGAGCGGACGGGTGCAATCAGAGGGATTGATTGATACCAAGGATCAAGTACATGTACATACATACATGCCTGCAGGCCAAGCAAGACGAGCAAGGCGGCCGTCGTCATGAAACAAAACCACCGCCAAGCCAACGTCGGTCCTGTAAACTACCGTCAGATGACCAGCACGCACCCATCCTCCCTCGTCGCGATGCAAAAGCCCGCAGTTGTGCATTCTATGACGCCCTCTTCACCGCATCCAGCCGCCAATCACGCGCGCCGCCTCTGTCCCCCGCAACTCTGCAACTTGATAGTACTCGAGCATCACATCATTCCTCATGCTATCCAAACCTTGGCTTTCGGCCCCTTGCAGCTCCCCTCCTGCACGCCGACCTAGCGCCGTGGCATCGCAGCCGAAAAGGGCATTATAACTCAACGTCTATATCAACAACGAGGGGCACTGGGCATTTCGCGCTTGAGAAAACTATAAATTTTTCTGCCTTCTTCTCCGCAAACTTAGACGGCCCCGTCGTCAAAATGCAGCAGTAGCAGTAATGCAACATCAGACGGTTTCCCTTTTTCAGAGCCCCCCAGTGCCCCCAGTGCCCCCAAAAACCCAAAAACCACGACACCAGCCAATGGACGCGACCAGTCACATTAGGCGGCCGAGGTTTCACGGCAGCCCAATTCGGCCCAACACGTCTTCACGTGGGCGGCTCGGTCTGTGCGCCCAGTTGACATGTAAGATTGATGCAAGGCTGGCAGAGCGAGCCACGGACCTGGGACTTGTTGTGCGTCCGACAAACAGCGGCCAGGCAGGGGAAAACATTGAACGCATACGGAGTAATTGCTTCCATTTCGCTTCGCTGCGCGCCGCCGGTCCATCTGCGCACCGCCGCACCGTGACGTTGCCGGGCGAATCTGGCCAGAACCACGCACCCCCACGGACCTGTACAAAAAAAGAAGAAAAAAAAAGACGCATCAGTTCGTCACGGAGCACAATGCCCAAGTAAGAGGCAATTGTGAAACTCTAAATGCACATGTACTCCGTATACTCCGTATAATATCAGCGGGCGTCGTGCCGCCTTCTCACCCTCTTGCTCGATCGAGCTGCGCCACTCGCCGACCAGGGCTTGCATGCCGGCGCCACAGGTTCGCGACTAGGCCCCTTGCGGGCGGGCATCTTGTGCCCGTCAGCGCAGCCAGACGCCGCAATCTAATCAAATCAGCTTGCATGTGCACGCAGCCCGCACGCATCAATGCCTGGTGCTGAGTGTGCAGATTTTCCGTCTGGTGGGAAACCAGTCACTCGTGCCTGTGGCGTCTGACCTGCGCGCTACAGCTTGTCGTGGAGGGCGCTCGGGATGTACTATTGACGCCGGCGGGCTGATGTCGGATGACGGGGCCCCTAGGGGGAGAAGATTAAGTTCTGTCAGTTTTGCCTTTTTTTTTTTTGTGCTGGTGATACTTGGGCGCCAAGTACCGACACAGGAGACGAGACGAAAAAAAAAGGGCCAGCGGCGCAAGCGGCGGCGCGGGCGGTGGTGGCGGGTCAACACGTTGACCCGATGAGGCCCAGCAGGACGCAAAATGCCTCGCATGTGGCCATCGGCTCTGGCGATGGCTCGCCGGGTGCGGGGAACAGTCGACGTTGGGGAAGCAGGACACTGGGGCAGCAGCAGTCGTGATGTTGTCCATGTTTGTGCGGTCGCCAAGAAGGCCCCCGTGGTGAAATCCGTGCCCAACAAGTGAGGTTGTGCTGCCTGCGTCCGACGGACCTGACCAGACATGGACGGCGCGGTTTGAGCCGTCGTCAGCTATTGCGCTTTTGTAACGAGTGTGCGTCGGCGTCTGCCATACCATCAAATACCGTACCCCTGCCTCCGCAGGCCTCGTGAACCGCATCCTTGGCGTACATACATGCACGCTGCTGTGCCCAGCTTTCATGCATTGTCTG